TCTTTCTCCCTCCTCTCTCTCTCCCTCTTCTCCCTCTCTTCTCTATCCCTCTTCTCTCTCCCCCTCTTCTCTCTCCCTCTCTCTCTTTCTCGCCCCCGACAATTTATTCCTGCATTATTGCAGGCTATACACTTGAGGTAGCCTACATGAACTTGCTGAGATGTTCTCGGCAAGCCTGCTTCATTTACCTCAGTGGCAGGAAGTGCATGTCAGCTATTGAGATCATTTTCTCCTTTACGTAAGAAAAGTATCAGTGACACTGTGTTTTGAGACCTTTAACCTTAATTTTCGAGAAACTATGGTGATCGCTGTCATGTAACACTTCAAATAGAAAGCTACAAGCTGCAGATTGTTTGCTAGCTGTAGATATCGCCAGTGTGTACGATTGCTTCTATTGTGTCTGGTCTGGCTACGGTCCTAGTTAGCAATTGATGAAGCTTTTATGGTTGACAGGAATGTTGTATGTTGCAAAATGAGTATCAAGGTATCCTCTCCAAATGATTTCTAAAACGTTTTTTTTATTTTTAGAATTTCTTTAGGAACTTTTTTATAAATGCAATTTTGTATTATGTATATCTGTTTTTTAATATTACACACTACATCTACTTACATACATGATTTTACATATTTATTACATATTAGTTTTCATTACATATTTATCTACATATTTTTCCAGTCTCTAGTCATTATAAGTCTTTGATTCCTTCAAATTCCGATATTTCCTTTAAATGCACTGAATTTTTATCATGCAATATTGGTAAACATTATGCAGAGCCATAGCAGACGACACTAGTACCTCTATTTTTTCATCCTGTAATTTTGTCCAAAATTCTAAAACGAGTTGAAACTAGGTGAAACACCCTGCGTTGTGTTGAAATTAAACAACCTGAATACTAAATTCAACACAAAAATTCCATGAGCTCCTCTACTATAACATAAATGTTCTCATTTATCTTTCATCTTCCTGTTTTCAAAATTGTGAACTTGGTCACTTAAGTCATCATTTGCACAGTCTTAAAAGAACACTCATAATGAACATGTAAGCATGAAAAATGTATTAATGTAAAACTCATATCTGAAATAATTTAGCATGGGAAGTTTAGGAATTTATCCAGGACTAACAGAAAACAACGTATCAATGTGAAAAGTGTACAAGTGTGAAGCACATAAACGGAGTTTGACTATATATGCATCACACTTCATTATAATAATCTTGCCATGGTCTCTTGATTTTTGTTTTACCAATTGAAAGAAATTGTCAAAAAAAGGGATTATTCATCAGCATGACACTCCTTTTCTTGTTTTCTTCTATTCTTCTCTCCCTTCAGCGAAATAGTATTAGCATAATGATACTGAATATAACATATTTCTAGTATTTTATTTGGTATACTTACAATTTTTTATTTAAAAAATCTTATGAAATAAAATTGTTTTAAAAGCTTATTTATTCTTTTTCTTTTCTGTACGAAGGAGTACTCTTTTTACTACACAGTTGTAATGCTATTGTATTAATCCATATCTGCCCAGAATTTTTTGTTCAATTTTTCTTTCTTCAAATATGAAGTTTAGTACCATACTGGCCAAAAATATATTAAGAAAAATGGAATTAGTTTTTATTGCGGTACAAAAGTCTTTTTCTGCGTGGGCAAAAGTCCTTTTCCCTCTGCTAGTCTGATTTATGATTCTATATTTCAAGTTTCGTTAGTGGGAAAGTCACCTCAGAGGCCGAGCGACAGGTCGCTCTGCAGGAGCAGTCTGGAGCTCGGCAACTCGAGTTACATACAAGTTCCAGGTTCTTGCAGCTATTCATCCCGTGCCTCATCGCGATCATTTGAACGTTAAAGGTCTTAAAGGGACTTCTATTATGAACTTTTAACACTTAACTTATAAATGTAAGACACATAACTGAAATTGTTTAGCATGGGAATTATAGAACAAAAAAATGTATAAATGTGAAACAAATGTATAAACAGAGTTTCACTGTAATCTGCCTGCCGTATCCCTCCCTGTTATGTTTTGCCCCACCCCACCCTACCCACCCCACCCCACCCTACCCCACCCCACCCACCCCACACTGCCTCCCTGTCCAGCCCTGCCCCACCCCACCCTGCCTGGCCCTGCCTCGCTGTGCTCCGACTGCCCACCTTGCACTGCCCTGGTCTGCTGTACCCTGCCCTGCTCCATGTTATTGTACCTGACGAAATACCTACCTCTTATCGTATAATGATAACTCCATCCATATCTGTTTAGCAGTTTCTGAGATTAACCTGGACCAACAAAAAAAACAACAAAAAACCAACAACAATTGAATGGACTTTTTCTCTTGAAAATAACCATATGAGATAATAATAGCAATTATTTTGAAATTACAGATAGTCACAATTTTATTTATAGTGACAAGAGGGTATTGTTTTGTTATTACAGCAATCCTTTCTCTCTCTCTTATATGATATAATATTGCAACTTTTATGCTACTTATATTTCAGCTATCTCTTGGGAAACTCTCCTCTAAATGGAATAGAAAGGATGAGAAGGGTGGGGATAGATAAAGAGAGCAGGTTGGAGCAGAGAGAAGGGTATGGTGTGACAAGGATGTGAATAAAATTGCTTTCATTTTACGATATAGATTGAATTCATTCCTTTTCCTGGGTTACTATGATAATTGTGGTTAATAAATACCCTGGCAACACCTGATTACTTCAATTGGTCACATTTGTTTGAGCTTAAGTTAATCTACAAGTAAAATTTTTGAGCTACTCTTTATTACTCGTGAGTCATAGTGACATACTGATGGGTAACGTGGTGTTCTTTTTACTTCTTTACTATGCCTTTTTTTCTTCTTACCTATTTCTTCAAAATATGTAGTTTGTTTTAGGGTTAATAAATGGAATTTTTAATGGAGGGACTTTCTTCATAAGATTGCATTTTATTCTTACTTTATAAGAGATTGTTGGGAAAGTTATTTTGAATATTTGATGAATTAGCTCGTTATTGCAACTGCCGTTAAAGAATAGGGTATGATTAGAAATATTTCATGTTTGTTCATTGTATAACAGTGGTTTGTAAAGTTTCATTTCAGTGAAATAGATTTATATGAATTTCTCATGAACTGGATTATCAATTGCTACCTCAAAACTTTGTTTCATATACAATGAATTTTGTCAAGGTTACATTATTTAATATTTTGTTAATAGTGATGTACCTCATGTTTATATTTTGTGATAAATGTGTATATTTTATTTAATTAGAACAAACATTAATATTAACTATGAAAACTTGAGACCACTATAACAATATTTCTTGCATGTGTGAAAAATGTGAACCATTCTCTATATAGCTATGCAGACCAATTTGTTAACATTAACATTTATTCTTGTGTGAAATGTTTACACATTATTTTGTTACAGCCTGAATTAGAAGGACTGAAACATCGCAAAAGAAAAGAGAAGCTTTGTATGATGGCTAGTCGCAATTACCGTCGGTGTCAAGCTTGTCCAATTTATGGAGCTGATTTACGAGAATCTCTGAATGTAACAAGTTCAACAAATCCAGAAAACAGCCAATGGAGTAGTGCAGGCTATGTGCATTGTCTTAATGCATTCAAACCATTTCACACATCTGATGAATATTATAGTCGCACTGACAGTCTTCTTGCAGCTGTACATTCTGCTGAACAGTATGTTGAAGAGCTTCAGGATATTTTTTCGAGGTACGCAATGGTTAAAAAGTTTGCTAATGTAAATTTTTTGGGATTCGTTTTCAAGAGTAAATGTTAAATGTCAATAATCATAAGAGCTTTCCTCAACAAATTTATTTTTGGGACGTAACTTTAAGTAAAAATAAAATATTAAATTTAAATGCATGATAATATTGATTAATGGTTTTTGTTTTTTAGACAGACTCAAAAAATCAATTGTGATTGTCCAAGAAACAATTATTTTGCTTATGACATAATAGACAATTCATTTCATGATCATATAAAAATGCTTATAATCAAAATTTTTGAAACTTGTTGTAAAGTGTAATTGAACCATACAAATTTTCAAATTTCTATCTTAACTTTGTATTTTCAATTTTGGTTCAGTATGGATAATGATAATGTCACTCAATAACTTGTTAGATTGTGTTCATAACTTGGTAGCAATCTACCTGTTGCATGCATTGAGGTAATGAATGTGATGAGGGAGTGATGAAAAGGCTCAGAGGCTGCAGAGGTAATGAGCTATGTGTGTGAAGGCAGGCAATGAGATTGGAAAGATGTTTTTGAAATGACATCATGTTTTTCAGATGAGTTAATAAAAGGCTGACTTCATGCATGCTTAGTAGTGTTTACACCCAGCGTACTCCTTTCTAGATTCAGATTCAAATGAATTTCTTCAGCTGGTACAACACAATGCAAAACCTGTATATTTAAATATTGGGTACTAAGAAATATTAGAAAGTGTGTTATAAAGATGATTTGTAACAGGACCTAATGTGATATATAAACCACTGTTTCAGCAGTGCCAGGATTAATATTGTTATCAGTTTGAGAAATGCTAATTTTGAAGTTAAGGGATTTTTATTGCGTATAATATAATTTACTTAATTTTTTCAGGTTTGTGCTTTGTGTACCTGCAGTGTCTGCTCCGCAACCAGAGATTCATGTATCTCACCCTCCTCCGTCTCAGTTATGGGCACTTAAGCGAACTCAAGCAATGCTTCAGCAAGAATTGTCTTCAAAATGTGCATTACTTCATCCAATTGCTAGTGCAATGGTAACACAATTTCCAGATCCCAGATTAATACAATATGATTGTGGTAAGTATTATTTTCCCTTTATTTTTTAATGGTTGATATATAATATGTGACTAATCAAATGTAAATAATTGTAAGATAGTTTATTGATATTTTGTAAAAAGCAGTGTGATACAAGAAATTTATGAAAGAAATATGTTTGACAGGTAAATTGCAAGTACTGGATAAATTGCTGCGTCAACTAAAAGCTGATCATCATAGAGTGTTAATTTTCACACAGATGACCAGAATGCTGGATGTATTAGAAGCATTTTTAAATTTTCATGGTCATATTTATCTTCGATTAGATGGAACAACTCGGGTTGATCAGAGACAGGTAATACAAATAAAATAATTTCACTAACTAAAATGTAAGAATTGAAGTTGTTCTTAAGCAGTTTCTCTTCAGTCATTTTTCATGATTTGGTTGTAACAATAATTGATCAGGAAAGCGGGAAGAGTCATCTTAAAAGAACAAAATGAAATAAAGGAGCACTGATAAACTATTCAGATTTTTCTTTTGAACATCATTCTGAATATCTTTCCTAAGAGTGGTATTGTTACCACTTCCTAAGATTGATTTTAAATGATTATGATTATAATATATAGGGCATATAAATTTTTAAAAGCTTATAAAAAAAATTAAAAAGAAAAAGAGAGGGAGAGAACACTAGAGCAATTAGAACCCAAATAGGCAGAATATTCAACAGGATTCAGACCTAATGGGTCATGTCCAAAACAAATTTTCAACCTCAAAACCATAGTCAGCATTCGAGAACTCTGGCAAAAGCCCTTAGTATGCTCATTTGTTGATTTTAGAAAGGCATACAACTTATTGGGCAAATGCTCGTTATTCCGAATTGCAGAGGAAAAGGGATTAGATCCCAAAGTACGAGAACTTATAAAACAAACACTGACACGAAATCTAAAGTAAGATTAATGAGAGAAATCTCAGAACCCTTTGAAATCCAAACAGGTATACGAGAAGTTGATGGGCTCTCTCCTCTTCTATTCAACATTGTTCTAGACAAGGTTATGGAAGAATGGGAGAAAGAACTCGGGAAGCATGAAGTGTAGAAGCCATTCTCATGTGGCTTTCCGAAAAACAACCTCTAAATACCGTATCTCGCATTTGCAGATGATCTGGCGATATTAGCAGAGGACAAGGAGACAGTCATTACCCAGCTCGAGATGCTGAAAAAGTAGGGTTACAAATTTCATTCGAGAAAACTGAATTCATATGTTCAAAGACAGTAATCACAGGATTGAAAACGAAGTACAATAAAATCAAAAGAGCACCATACTTTCAATACTTTGGAGAATTCATTGAACTTATAGGGATTGAAAACATTTCTCAGCAAAATCGCCTCCAAAAAGTGAAGAAAGCATTAGGGCTAGTTTGAAACATTTACAACAAAACATCCACGTCAAGACAAACCGAAATTCGCCACTACAACACAGTCATAAAACCAACAGCCCTGTATGCAAGCGAAACATTGGCTCGAATCAGAAAACACGAACTTGAATAAATAAAAAAAGCAGAGAGAGAAATAATTAGGAAAATTCTTGGAACAAGGCATACAAAAAACAAGTTAGAGACTACAATCAGTAAAAAAAAAAAATGTTTTCGAATGTTGAAATTGACATTAAGAAAAGGCGAATGAAATTCTTTGGACATCTTCACAGATTACCAGAAAATCAATTGACAAAAAAAAATACTAGATTACTTAACCTCACCGAAGAACACAACACCTTGGCCAAATGAATTTTGGAAAGTCCTCAGAAAAGCTAATATAAGATCAGATGACATAGTAGAAAGAGACACCTTCAGACACAAAGTGAATAAGAGGGTAGTTGCACTAGAGCAACCAAAACAAAAACAATACAGACCAAAGTGGTCAAAAGAACACAAACAAGCTTTCTCAGAAAGAATGAAAGCATATTGAAGAAACACGAACCCAAACAATAATTGGAGTCTTATGCTTTGTGTCTTCCACCTATGAAGAGAATTCACCAATAATATTATTAATAATAATAATAATAATAATAGTAATAATAATAATATAAAAAATAAAATTAGACACACAACTAGCCACCCTATCAAGGTGCACCTTTGACCATTCCTGTAACGTCTTCCATTTTATGTTGATCTAATTCTCCAGACACTATTGTTTTCCTTGATTGATATTTGCTCCATGAGACATTTTACCTAGCATGTCAAACTATGACACTTGAGTAGATTGGGTCATCCCTTCTTTTAATGCTTCAATTTTTATTTTTTATCTCTTTTTGTTTCTTGAAAAATCTCAGGATGCAAAAATTACATGTGAGCCGTACTCTGAGTCTCTGATATCACTCATTTTTATTGCTGATTGATTGCAGCATTGCTAATTGCTTTTATTTCAATTAATTAATTAAAAGGAGTTATTTAACACTATTATTGTTTACATAATTGGACAAAAATTATTCAGTAATGGATGTAATTGTTTGTTTCATTCAGATTCTCATGGAACGTTTCAATGCTGATAAAAGGATCTTCTGCTTCATTCTTTCAACTCGATCTGGTGGCATAGGCGTGAATCTTACAGGGGCTGACACTGTGATATTTTATGATAGTGATTGGAACCCAACAATGGATGCTCAGGCCCAGGATCGATGCCATAGAATTGGACAAACCAGAGATGTTCACATTTATAGGTAATTGTGGCTCACATTTATAGCTCCATAATGGTGTTAACATACTCTTGTCTTCTTGCATATTAATATGAATTATTTTTTTATTAGGCTCGTCAGTGAAATGACCGTGGAAGAAAATATTTTGAAAAAAGCAAATCAAAAGAGACTTTTGGGAGATCTTGCTATTGAAGGTGGTAACTTCACAACAGCTTACTTTAAAAGTGTAAGTAATTTGAAGGAGTGAGAGGGTGAATACTAGTGGTTCTCTTACAGTATTGAAAGGTTGCAATGTGTTATTGTCATTGCAGTTAAAGAGTCAGTGCACACCTGTTACCAAGTAATAAATATTACTCATAATTACTGCTTTCTTGCTTTACAGTCTACTATCCAAGATTTGTTCAATATTGATGTTGGAGAAAATGATGCGTCCAGGAGAATGGCAGAAGTACTGGATAGAGATGCTGAAAGAAGACGTCCAAGCGATAGTCAGGTTGGTTTCTTTCAAGAAGATTTAATAATGTTGAAATAATTAAGATTTAATAATGATACAAATTGTGAGAAGAACATGAACTAACTATTTGGGTAAATACTTTTTATTTGTTTGTATTTTTTATTGTGTTTCAACTTGTTTCATTTTATATGATTCTAGCTCCCTCCATCTCCTCATGAAGACAAAATGGCTCTTGGTGCTTTGGAATCTGCGTTGGCTGCTGCTGAAGATGAAACAGATGTGTTGGCAGCCAGGACTGCAAAGGCTGAAGCAGCTGCAGATTTGGCCGAATTTGATGAGAACATTCCTCTGGAAGATGGTGAAACTGTTGGAGGAGATCCTGAAATAAGTAGAGCAGAACAAGAAGTGAATAACATCATGCAACAGGTACTGATTCTATCATTTTACTGGTGTTTCCAGACATTCTTAATCGAATTGATGTCTATAATAGTATCTTGTAAATGTGTATTAATTTCTTAATAATGTGAAATAATTAATTTAATGTGTTACATCCTACATTCTTTTGCTTTATATGAAACGTTTAATGATGGGAACTTCTGTTCTGATATTGTTTGTGATTGAATTCACAGCTTACTCCTGTGGAACGGTATGCAATGAAATTCGTAGAAGAAACAGATTCAGCTTGGTCAGCAGAACAGTTGGCGGCAGCTGAAGCTGAAATTGAGCAACAGAAGAGAGAATGGGAGCTGGGTCGTCTTCAGGCCTTGAAGGAGGAAGAAGAGAGGAGATCACGCCTGGAAGATGATGACGACCAGCTTCTCACTTTCTCACGCGAGGATTCCCAGAATCAGGTTGTGAGCAACGCGGGGGGACCCAAAAGAGAGGGCAGGAGAGGCGGCAGGGGTCGAGGGCGAGGCAGGGGAGGTAGGGGAGCTCGGATACATGTAGAAAAACTCCACTCTTCTGGTAGTGACAGTGAAAACACTTCAGCAACTGAAGTTATGAGTTTGAATAGTGAAGAAAGTGATGCAGGCAGTGAATATACCGGGGTGGACTCAGATAGTGATTTGAAAAGCAATGGTCACTTCCCAAGAACTGTTCCAAACAACCACCATATAGTTAATTCAAATAGTCCTCGAACTCGCTCTAGAGGTACTGTCAGCATTAATCTTTGGACTCTCGATGTGAGTCCAATCTTACCTGGAGTTAAGCCTGTTGGAACTGGTTCTGGACGCACTCCAGCATCAATAGCAAGGGGAAGAGGTATTCGGTACCGCAGAGGAAGTGGTCGTGGCCTTCATAATTCAATTAAATCACATGATCCTCAAATAACTCCTCGTCGTCCCTCACAAAATAGCAATTCTTCTGGCCCATACAGTTCATCACCTACACCATATTCTAATCCAAATTTGGTTATAAGGACAAGACGTGCTTCAGTTACACCCTCTAGGACTTCTGAAAATGACATCAGTTCATACACCAGTGAATGTATTGAAATTGCTACTCCAAAGAGAGGAGCCAGGGGAAGCAGGCTAACACGCAGATCTGATCATTCAATAGAAGGAAACGGCCCAATTACTTGAGCTTTGCGAGTGCATTATATGCCTAAATTAAAACGTGTTGAGGCACTGTATGAAACTCAGCACTTCGGTGCATTGAAAATTAGACAATGTGCCTCTGCATGAAGAACATTAATGTCGTTTATTGCTACCTAAGACAGCCTGCTGTAAATAAGCTTCGATTTTGAAGGCACTCCTGTGTATTCTAAAGGACCGTTTTTTTACAGCATAGTTTTAACCAATGTACATAAACTAGTTATATGAAAGTGGATGGAAATGAACATTTCAGATAAGTCACTACTGTGGGAGGATGGCTTTTCTGTTCTTTATATTGTAACTATAAATTGATGTGTGAATGAGTGAAGAATGATATGCCATGTGATTTTGTGATCATGTGGTTTTGTTGTAATACAGAAATGTGACATGTTGTCACGCTATTTAAATTGTCCTGTGAAATAGTACTGAAAGGAGAATAAAGATATATTCTTTCCTTGCTATACTCTTGTGTTACTTATTTCTTGGTACGTTTCCAAGTGGATTCAAAGGTGGAGCTCTGTTTTGGTGTCATGTTGCTCGGTGTGCTTGTTTATTGGCTGTCAAAATTAGTTTGGTATGGCATAGGCTTGTCATTACCTTGAATTGAATTTTTTTAAATTCATGTGGCCACAGTATAGAGTTAGGTGGTTGGATTACTTTATGAATTGAATCCACCTTCAATACTGTGGAATAAATTTTTTGTAACTGGCACCAAAACTTTGCCTTTGCCATTCCAAACTTGGAGACTACCCAAGATATAAGCATGCACAGCGAGTAAGGAAAATTACGAGTATAAATTAGTGATAGTGCAGCTGAAATTAAAGAGTCTGAATGCTGCAGTAAAGGCAGGTTAATCTACTATGTGCATTGAAATTTTCCAAAACAAAGGTCTCTCTTTAAGAATCATCACATTGGTCAAATATTGTTCCCAATTTCCTTATTTGTTTTATTTTTACACTATTATGCTTTGGAGGAGAAAACCCAATTCAACTCTTTCCTCTCTGACAAACATTAGTCTGGGACTAGGTATGCCTTTTTTGTTGTTTTTTTTTCCCTCCAGATAACTTTTGGCATTAATGTTTGAGGTTATAATTGGTATACATGTGTGAATTGAAAATAAATCTCCAGCTTTATGCTTGAAAGTAGCTTTTCAAAATTTGGCCAATTATTAAGGTTTCAAATACGGAGTTCTCTTTATATGTTCTTTTTCTTTTTTCAGATGTGGATATCAGACAACTGCAAAGAGCAAATGCCTGTAAGTGGTATTTATTCTTTTCTGTGCTTACATGAGGGGGGTGGGGGGCAGAATGTAATTCACAGATTAGCTTCAATTAACTGCATTCCCCCAATTTATCTCATATTAAAAACTGAAGTTTACTTGATATCTCTTACTGGATCATTATGGCTGAATTGTGTGGTTAATTTGTCTTATTCGTTGAAGTAAAACAAATAGCAACACCACACAGACAATTAAGCATTTTCACATCTGATATAACTATTGAAAAACATAAATTGATTTTTAAATTAATTATAAAACTTCTTACTTTCGGTATCATGCAAAACATGCTTGTTTGCAATGAAGGTAGGAGAGTGCCTTTTTATAGGAACGGAACTTAATAAATCAGAAGGGTGATGTGTTGAAATATTTCTCCCTTTTATGTAAGCAATTCTCACAGCTCTAATACATGTGCACACTTATTTTCCGTGAATGAAGTAGATCATATGTACTCCTGGAAATACAGATACCGTACTAGAGTTAATGCAAAATATTATTATAATTCTCTTTATCAGTCAGTAGTTATGGAGTCCTCTTAAAAAAAGAATGTAAGAATTTGGATGCTGCATGCAAATCGTATAAGTCAATATTTTAGATTGTATGTATTTCTGTAATTAAGCAAAATGTAAAATTAACTTTACGCAATTAACCAGTTAATGCAGCTTTTTAGGGGTTAAAAATTAATATTTAAAAATATACATAAATTGTATTTATACCTAAAAATAATGAAATAATTTAATTGAAAATGTTTTTGATGCAACGTATTTCCTTCTTTCTGGAATGGATTAATCTACATTGTTATAAAAAAATTGTTGGTACCTAGGGTCTTTCTCTGTTAAAATAAGTGAATTAAAAGAATGTCAGGACACTTAACCTGCAACCTTAGAATTATTTAATTAATTAAATCAATTGATTTGGGAATTATTTTTGAATTAGTCTCTGGAAATGAGGACTGACACTAGGAAATAAAAACTAAATATGGAAAAAATGTACTACTATTGCTGCTATTGAAATATTGTAATAAGTGCTAAATTGATGCAATTTCCATGGAAAATTGAGGTACTGCTATATTCTAAATGTTTATAGTAGTTACTTACATTGATTTGTGTGCACAAAATTAGTCTCTCTTCAGATAATTTATGGATCAGGAAATGTTGATTGATATGCCCAATTTTTATATGAACATAAATAATTAGAACATGTAATGTTTAAGGAAAAAATTAATTATTCTGGGATTTGCATTGAAAAGTACAAAGGAATACTATTTTCACCAAAAATTAGCGAGTGTACATAATATTTCTTCAGTTGTTAAATATTGTTTTTAACTTTGCCAAATTTTGTGACTGTAAGCAGTGAAATGTTTTAGTGTCGATGTCATTCATTGACTAATGGACAATTGTGGTCTTGCAGATGTGGTGCCCGCCAACACCTCCTCAAGATGATAATGATGTATACATTGATCACTCTATTGGATTTTTGTATGAACAAAGTGTGATGTCTGAATCTCAGTTACCTCCAGTGTACATTAAAAAAGAACATAAACGAATGAGGTTGGATGCATCAGCTAACGACAAAGAAGGTTGGTTTTATTCCACTTACTTTTGTTAATGTGCAATGGTATTTGCAAAGAAGAAATATGTGAATCTTTTAAAAACCCTGCTACTTCGGAATTGTTTGAATTAATTTCTGGACTCGTTAACAATTTTGTTTTAGGTTCCTTTGTAACTATTGATATGAAGTGCTTTACAAAATTAAATTTGGTTGTGTGTGGGAATGATATGTTGTTATAAACTATGTATTATGTTTAATTTACCTCAGGGAGTTGGGAATCATTTTGTATTGTGGTATTTGTATTGATTTTTAAAAATGTTTCCGTGTGTATGGGTAAATATTTTTCTCTTTGTGATTGAAGGTCGCCGTCCTCTTAAAGTGAGACACTGTGAAGAATCAATGTATTCACCAAGATCATTATTTGATAGACAGTCACCGGCTATTATGAAGATGCGAAGAGACATGAAATTTCAGAAATATAGGGGGATGGTTCGAAATCCTCTTACTTTGTCAGGCTTGAAATCTGCCATTCCTACAAAGTCTCAGCCTGAGCCCGATAATGCTCCAGAATGGTTGATTCATGAAGACTGGGCCTTATTGCAGGTGTGACATTACAAAATCCATATTTAATTTAAAACAAATTATTTAAACAACTAATATTTTAATTGCTTCTATTATTTTTTTATTTAATTAACCCTTTTTGAAACGGCACACATCACAGGACACTGTCCTTCGACAAATCCCAAAAATTTTCCTGGAGAGTTGCAATCAACAATCTGCCCGTTTTAAAACATGAAAATATTTCAGAATACATGTCGAAAACGAATACAGGGGAGGCTGAAAAAGGTTCCAAAATTGCTAGTATCGTTCGAAAAAAGTTATATTTTCTGAAATCAATAACAGATAGATTTAAAGTGAGAGCATGAACCAACGAGAAAGTTCATCTGCGGTGTTAATGCAAAAATTAAATTGACTTGCAAGAGAACTAAGTGAATACATACTAAGTAATACGTGAAGTAGATTGAATCATTCTTTACTCACTTAGAACTAGAATTGCCGGAACCATGCATATCTAGAACTTCCAAAGCAGTTCATTTGACTGCTGCTGATAATTAACATTCTACATAAATTGATACTATTTTTATAACCAGAATAGCTTTGTATCGTAAGGTGGTAGGTCAGAGAGAGTTAGTTTAGTCAATAAATATTCCAGAGAAAATTTATTGATAATTCACACAAATATTTTTACTTTCACCTTTTAACACTAATATAATATAATGGTTAGTATACCCTTATCTAATAATCCACACAATAATAATAAACCACAAATTCATGTTTTGCATTGTTCGGACTACCATAAATTTATTATAAGTTTCTTTCACGCCTTTTCTTGGATGACCCACCCTTCCACCCTTCTCCTTCCTTCAGGTTTTCTGACCTCTTGCCACCTTCACCAGTCTCTCTTCCTCTATTCTGTCTATGTGGTAATTCCAATGCCTTCTTCTTTCATTGATCCAGTCTGATATGATGTCTTTTTGACAGGTTTGTCGTATGTTAGTATTGCATTTTTTATCCCTTATTGAGTTTTATTTACTATTTTTCTTAATACTCCCATCTCTAATACTTCCATGATTTGTCATATTTTCTTGGAGTCTGTTCTGGTTTCGGTTTCAGTATGGGTCTAATTACTGCCTTATATATTCTGATCTTAGCTTCTTTTTTAAGATATGGGCTATTCCATATTGTGTGGTAGAGACACCCTGCTATTCTATTTGCTTCTATACTTTGTTCCTTTGCCTAACTTAAGAGATCTGGTTAGGCCATCACTGGTTATCACTATGCCTAAATATTTTATTTTCATCACTTGTTCTATTGAGTGTTCTTTCACAGCCAATTTGGATTTTAATGGCTCTTTCGACATCCCCAGTCTAGTTTTCTGTATTTATTGCAGCGTGTATTTGTTTTGTTTCAACATTTCCTTGTTTGGCATTGACACTGCTTGTTATTTTGTGTAATATCCATCTCTTCTACATGCATTCGTTCCATTTTCTTCCTGTTCTCTATGTATTTCTGTATTCTACGTACTACGAGTGTAGTTCTTTAGAAAGTTTCAAGATAAAATTTCTTGTGCTTATCTTATTTACTATCATAGCTTTGACAATAACCCATGATTTCACAGCCACTAGATCAAGAATATTATGAAACACATGCATGGCCATCGTCGTGAACCAGATTGCACTGTATATTTTCTTGTCATCTGATCTAGGACGTTTACCACAAACTGACTTACTGTAAAAGCCAACTGTTTCTGGTAGCTTTTTTGAGTTGACACAAATTTCTTGCTACTGAGATACTTTTTCAAATAAAGCGTTAGTACTGATAGGCCACAAGGCATAAGATCAAACTTTCGAGTGTATTATAGGACATCGGCCGTTTGATATTGGTTTCAATGGTTCTTTGAATTTAATTTGAACATGAACGTGACTAACAATACATATAAAACTTTTCAAAGCAACATTTTCTTAATAGTCAAATGACGGCTTGGCTATAACTATCAATGACAACAAAACTAGTAATAGAAAAATACTATAATAACGCACAGATGCTCTATAAAACAACTCGTGAACTAATATTAAAATTGAATAGATTTCATTTTGGTAAGAGCTCATTTGAAATATAAAAAGCAATAAAAATGACTGCTCGGCTAGTGTCAAACACCATTTTCTTAAAAACGGCTCCAAATTCTTCAAAGAAAATTTCTATTTAGGGCGAGGTATTACTGTTCTTTAATTTTCTTAAAACAATATTCCCTTTCTAGTAGTAAACAAATAAATTAGGATAATGTCAAAAAATGGGTATTAGGCGGCAATAGATGGCAGCTGACAGGAGTATGAAGCAAGTCCAAGTAGCTAGCCAGGACCAAAGGAAATAGAAATCTAATATGGGAAAGTCTGTGCTGTTCTGTAGCACCACTAGTTAATTATTTACAATGAAAATAAAATTGCAGGTTGTCTTATTGAAATTGAGGAGAGAAACTCCAGAAAAGAAATTATTGTCCAGAATTCAAGAAAGCAAGGCATGAACAGCAAAATAGTAAGAAAGATCATATTGACAAATTGTAAGATATTCGAAATCTAAATATCCAAAAATGTCAAACCCAGAGTATGAATTCAACATTGTACAAGCCAACCATCGGCTGGGAAAGATTATCAGTGAAAACAAGTACCGAAGATCATATTGAATTTGGCAGAATTAGCTTGTGACTTGCTCTACAAAAATAAGGACTTACCCTAGTAAATTGCATATTGAAGAAGCATGTGAAAGTGTGGGATTTTGATTCAACGGCCTGCTATAGTTCATGATTGTGATATTTTCTGTTGGGCGCTGCAACCTTAAGCGATACATGTGACATTAGTGTCGTTTTGATATGGATTATGAAAAATTAATAGAAAAGTTTTTAAATAATTGCTTTTCTTCCCTTTCATATGAATAAAAGAAACGAGTAATTGATAATGGGCGACCTTGATCTAACCTAATAATATTTTCCTGCTTCAGCAACTCCATGTGGAGTTGGGTATGGTGGCTTGGAATGAGACTTTATCTTTATGATTATTAGTAAGGTGTGTGTACTTTCTATATTTTGGTATTAGTTAATAGTTTTGTATTTTTTTTTGTGTAATTGTTAATTGATTAATGAATCAATTTATTGTAATGGTTGTTGTCCTCATGCACTGTTCATTGTTTATACTCTAGCCCTGTTGAAGAAATTAAACATTTTAAATTGTTGGCACAACTAATTGTTTCTCTAACCACAATGACCAATCTCGTGAACCAATTTTATTTTATTATTCATCAATGGTTGTGATTCTACAATGGGAAATATTTGCAACCTGCTTTCAGAACTTGTATTTGAGTACCTATCTTCATTATTTTTTTGTGATGTCTTTTCTTTTGGTATTTTAATACATTGATTTATTTTGTTGTATTTGGTTAGTTTTGATTGCTTATCTTTCTCTACTAGTGATATTGTATTCCCCAAATACATGAATATTATGAAAAATATTTATATTGATTGTATGTTGTTTAATACTGTACTCTAGAATTCAATTATATATGAAATTATTATTATTTTATTGATTTTGTTTTAGGCAGTGCAAGTGTATCTTGAACTTCCACTCAACCTTGCTGGATTATCTCCAGCACACACACCGAATTGGGATTTTGTATCTGAAATTGTAAACAATGTCTCCCGAACATACCGCTCACCTAAACAATGCCGAAACAGGTTTGTGTAATTATATTTATCTTTTCAGCAAAGGGAAAATATTTATTAAGTATGACCATAAAACTAATTTTGATTGATTGAGGTTGCCAAATATGGTTTCTTTTAATATATATTTATAAGTAATAACAATATGATCTCCCATGAATACTTTTTCATGAAAATAATTGAAAGTAATCTTTTATTTCAAATCCCTTTTATTTAACTTTGAGTTATAAACAGTCTTGAAATATAATATTTTTATAATATAGGACAACCTAACAAAGTGTATTAGTTTGCGTGAGGAAACAATATATATTGAACATAATTTATTTGTGAATTGAAACATGACTTTCAAACATTCAAATATTTCTTTTTAATGTAGTTGATTTTCACAGTGCCGTTTAGGGTAAATGTTTGAGTCCACCTGGGAACATGGTGCCATTTCAATTAGGAGTGAAGGTGTACTTTATATATGTTGGTCAGATTTTCACTTTCATAATCAAATATTTGTAACTATTTGATTACCGTTCAGTTCACAAACAGACGACATGTTTTTCAGAATTTTTCGCAAGTAAAATTTGTTATTCTGATTTTTTTTCGTTTTATCAACAGTTCGTTAAAAATACATTAACAATATACATTAGCAGTACTTTAAAAATACAACTGCTGCAAAAATATTTTACAATACAATACTTTATTCAGGCTTAAGAAAATACAAAATATATGTATAATTTTGTATCTCGCTGAGGTCACAGTCCTGATAACACCGAATTGACAATTTTCTCCTAAAATAGTATGACTTTTTAAATAAAGAATGAATGAAAACTAACAAATTTTACATTTTAAATAATAAATAACTGAAATTATGTAATGAGTCAGATCATAATTAAGGACTCTGTGTAAGGTGAGTTTGTTTTAGGTATAGAAATCTAACAAGTAAAAAGAGCTATATCTTGGTTCAATTATGGCCGTATGTATAAATTAGTTACGGATATTTTTGGTGTCTTGCAGATTTGAGAACTTATTGTTTTAAATTAGAATTTATTGTCTTAACAGTCTTTTATCCTTCCCGAGTTCACAGTTAGTCTCTAGTTCGCAACTTAACAGTTGAATACTCTAAATGCAACTTGCTCATAATGACGTTTACCAATCTCTTTATTATCTAACGGCGGTATAATTATTGGAACTCTTTACATTTTGTAGGTTTTCATGAAAAAAAGCTAATAGGACAATTTTTCTTGAACTGATTTATCTCAGAAAAATTTTCTTATAGAGATTATGGTTTTTCCCTAAACAGTTCTTCAAAGGGATAATGCCTACTTGAAAAAAATATTTAAACAATCTTTTTCTGGATCATTTGTAGAGATTAAAATATATTTTTGTCGGCACCTCCTTCAATTAATTATACTTTACATAGATAATGACCAAAAGAACGCATAATATATCATAAGCAAATAGTTTCTATTGAAAATTTTGATGTTGTAGAAAATGAATATAAGAGAATGTACTGTATTTACTCGAATATAAGAAGAGCCATGTTTTTATACCTTGCAATTCGGAAAGCAAATTACACCTTTGATGTTGTTTTTATAACTTGAAATCAGTTACCAAATAGGTAATTAAATAGAAAAAAAAATACATCTATATTACCTACAAGCTTATGAACATTATGCATAAATTATTTTGTGCATTTCAATATTTTTTACAGTACATGAACTAAACTTCCATTTTACCATGTCCACATTCATCATTTAATCATGTCTCTCAATCATCTTCACTTGTTTCATCGTCACTCAACTCATGTCTGTCATTCTCACTTAATAATACATCTTCTGTGCCATTCAGACTGTTGCTTACACAACACTTTTTGAAACCTTTTAGTATGCATTCAGTATGCATGTTTTCATGTTGCCAGAAGGAGTTAATGGGCAGTTCCCTGATAATAGCCACTCTTTATATTAGCGTGTGAGATGGTGCTTGAAAGTTTTGTTCACAGTCACATCAAGGGCTTGCAAGTGAGTCTCCTTGTATCACTACTACATCTGTTTTTAAACTAGCAACTTTTTTTTTTCACTTCTTCTGTTAGGTGACCCCTAAAGGTATGAAGAGAGAGAACAATCCTCTCTTCTGAAATAGAGCTCCCGATTTTCCCTTTTTTTTTCAGTCAAATTCTTCCTTTTCAGGATAACAAACGGTGGTAACTTCCTGCCATCTGCCAACACTCCCAGCATGACCTAAACTTGCATATTTTCGTTTCCAGATGTTTTTATTATAACTGACCCTTTTGTAGCCACTGTATTGTTGGAAGGCATTGGGGGCTCGTCTGTCTGTCTCTCGTTGGCCATGAGGAAGGCTTTGACGACGTTACAGCTGTTGCAACACTGCTAACATTGAGAAAAACTTAAATCTTACCTAACAATTCTGCATAGCGTCTGGAAAAATTATTCTATGTCTTATTACTTTAATTATAAACATATGAAAAAATAATAAAAACAGAGGAATTTCTACAGCAAATGACTTTTCTTTGTGAAGTTAACTTGTACTACACCGAGCTCAATATTATACTGTTGATATTGCATTTTTTACGGGACTATAAGATGATCCCCGATTTTTAAAGGTTGAATATTGGAAAAAATCCTCGTTTTATATTCGGGTAAATACAGTGATTTCGAAGATATCTTTAATAAATCAGTCAGTGAGAGTGAGTGAAAGCATGAGGAAGGGAGGGAGGGAGCGAGTGAGCGAGCGAGCGAGTCTCTTTCTAAGTAACTAATGTGTTGTAAATACAGTTTTGGAGAGATTGAGGCATAGATGGTTCAAGAATAGGCTCTTTTTTTTTGACCAAGAACAGAAGGTGGTAGAGGCTCAGCTAGTTTATGCTGAAATGCTAAGTGAATATAAAATTATTTTTATTTATCTATCAAACAGGCAATCACCCAATATACGTTACATTCATATTTTACTTATATAAGTTAATTGTATTCGCATAATTATTTTCCTTGCTAAATCTGAACAATTTGGTAGGATGTAAAAAATATATACTATATCACATGGGTTTACTAGTTTACTCATACGCCATATAGGTGCATTATGTTGCAGATTCGATCTCGCAATTGTATATTAAAGTTTTATCGTTATTATCTCGTATTTCAACATAGGGTACCATTTAAAGATTCTTTTGGATAAACAGATGCGTACAATCAATTCATTGTATCAATTTATACAGAAATATAAAATCATTGAATTTTCTATGAGAATGTAGTGAGTTTATGTTCAATAAGCATGCAACATGAAAATAATTATGTGTGAACCTCGGTGATGGAAGTTGAAGTTTCCAAGCAATATAGTTTAAGAACCTATGTTGAGTTGATTCAATTTTTCTCGAATAAATGTCATAATGAGGCGACCAAACTGGAGAAGCGTATAATAAAATTGATCTCACTAACAAAAAATATAGTCTTTAAAATGGAAGGATATTTGAATTCACTGGTCATTCTCCCAAGTAGTTGATTGGCTTTATTAACGATATAATTAATATGTTTATCAAATTTCAAAATAGGATCAAAAATAACTCCAAGATTGTTATATTCATAGAGACTCGAGAATATGATTGTCAAGAGAATAACGATAAACTATTTGCGACCTACACCTGGAAAATCTCACTATTTTACATTTATCGATATTCAAGGATATTTTATTGAAATTACACCATATCATTAGTGAGTTCAAACATTCTTGAAGTTCACAATAGTCTTTCAATGATTTTATTTCTCTATAAATCTTAATATTTTCAAAAAGAGCCAGCTTCTGGATGTACGCTGTTGCCAAAACAAAGCATTACAAAGTTTGAAAAAACAGTCCTCTGAAAAATTCTGAATAGAAATTAGTGATTGTTAAGTAGCATAGAAGATATGTAATTAGAAAACGTGCTTGAAAGCAAAAACGTATAAAAATTGTACCAAGCATACAACATTGTCCTCTTCGAATTGGTAAAGATTCTTACAGTCAACATCTCATCTATCTTGTAAATTCTTTTAGTTGGCTGCATCTGCATGTGGTAAAAACAACCAATGCAACCTTACTTTTCAAACGTGAGTCTGCTACTGAGGTCCCTCCAAAATTTTGGTGCAAGTGCTCAATCTAGAGAGTAAATGCTAAACTTTATTCATACCCATTTTGAGCATTTGCTTGCCAGTTGAAAGTACGCTCATAAGGTGTAAGTGCTCAGACACTGAGCAATTGCTCACCCACTGTATTCATACTGTAATTGAGAAGGTGCTCTGAAACTCAGAGCAGAGTTATTGCTTTCTTTTAGTCATAACATACTAAGGGTCTCCCAATCAGAGGAACAGCAATCCATTGATACCCTGAGCCACCTCTCCCGATGTATCGAAAATTTTTACCATACCATAAAATTGTTTCCCGAATCCAACGTACGTTACAATATTTCTTGATGAGTTATTTATCTGTAAGTTAAATGGCATTGTTAATTATTATGCTATGTTGCAAATACACAGTATTGAAATAGTATTATTTTATTCTCTAAAGAGAGCAAGATGTTATATACAAGCCAGTAAATAGTGAATAGTTTTATTTCAATATACCAGTAAAATGTTCATAACCAAAAACAACTAAAGCATGGGATTGAAAATGAATTTATTTGTGATAAGACTTTCCATTGTTTCAGCATTGTTATCACTGATTTTTATGTAAAAAAAAGTTGTGAAAACATCTTAAAGCAAAATATGCTGTAGTTTGATATTTTTTTTTGTTGAAATTATCTCTAATAATGAATTTAAATGACAAAAAACTTGACGTTACAAGAAACAAATGTGACCAATGCTGTTTGTTCTGGTTGTTATTTTTTGTTACTAAATAGGGCTGATGAGTAGCATACCATCTGTTTTGCAGGTATGAATCTGTCATTATTCCTTGGGAAGAAGGAAGGTTGCTGTATGATGTGAGCCCCAAAAAGCCAAAAAAGAACAAAGCTCTTGGGAAACCTTTGCAACAGACAAAAGCAAATCGCCCCATGCGCACATCACAATTGTACATGCAAGACAACAATGGCATGTACCTTCGCCTTTACAACCAGCGCTTTGAGACTATAAAAAATTTAGCTAGCAAGAAACAATCCTCCACAAAACCAGCTGTGGTTAACTCGGCCACAAGGAACACTAAACTTCCCCCGGTTCTAGCTGAAAGTGGAATTAATTATGAAGCTCCACTTACTCCAATAGAAGTAGTCATGAAAAGAGCTGAACGTATAGCAAAGGAAAAGCAGAAAACAGTGCAGGTAATTCGGTCTCTTATGTATTTGATGTATATCCGCCGCATGTTTCACATCAGTAAGAACAAAATCTATTTTCAGTGGTGATTTGAGGGAAATTCATTAATATTGAAAAGTATGCATTTTTGTTACTAATGTTTTCTTTACATTAAAACAAAATATGCAATTGAGAGATGATTTTGTGTAGAAAAAGACTTCATGAAACTATATTATGATATTAAGAAACTCTCGAATTTAGTAAAATATTATTAGTCTATTAAAGCAATAAATATTATTTATGGATTGGAAAGGATTTTCAGAAGTTTTATGTAATATTTGTATGCTTTTTTTATATGAATTTAATATTTGTATGCTTTTTAGTTGGTTATTAAAGAACTGATTGTTTACAATCAAAAATAACGTCATAAGCAACACATTGTTATCTCCTGAGTTTATTGATGTGTTTATTTGAACTTGTGTGATAAATACTTTGGAAGTTCTATACTAAATCTTTAATAGACGTTAGAATGATATATATGTCCGTGTTGAAGTTTCCGAGGTTCCCAAGTAGTTCTAAGCTTGTTTTGGATTGCCTATTAGATGAAATGCAATGTAAATGATGATAATAAAGTCATGTGATTCACATCATTTTTGTCATTTGTGCTGTGATGATGTTTCCATGGAGCTAAATTCGTAGGCTCAGCTGTTGTCAGAACAAAGGAGACTGCAGCAGCAGAAGCAGCAACAACTGCTGCAACAGCAGCAGCAGCAACAACAACAGCAACAGCAACAGCAAGCTGCTTTGGGAGGTGCCGTGCAGGTGAAAACAGGCATGTCGTCACCTCAGCAGATGTCTCTTGGATCAATGGTGACATCGGCTACTGCGACAAGCTCTTCACCACAGGCAGTGGTTGTTGGCATCAATCAATCACAAGTAAGGAAAAAAACAGTTATTATTGTCCTCGTTGTTTTGAATGCTGAATCATAATGTGCAGACATAAATGTGTTTTATGGTTTACTAGTTCAGTAACTGTTTTTGTATTAATCAGGAAGAAGATATTCAAAAATCTCTGCTGAAATGTTAGATTATTCATCCATTGTGTGTGTTACATATGAACCCAGCTAGTTTATACAGTAATATTTAATTTGCACCATTTTGATTATCTGATGCATACAGAAAAATAACAATTATGACTTTTTTATGCAAAACTTCAATTTAAAGACAATTCAAATTTATATTTAGTGGATTAATACATAATCGTTAGTTTTTTGGTATTACTTGATGTTTATGCCCCTCAGGCATTTTTGGATGTTTTATTTCCATATATACAGTAAAACCTGTGTAAAATGGAACCTCTGTAAGATGGAAATATGGAAATGTTCTATCCTCGACAAAAAATCTGCAAACATAAAAGTTTTTTTATATGTGAAAATGACCTCGTGAAGCCTGAAACCTGTCTAACGTGGAAACTTAATGGTTTTTGGACAACATAGAGTGATTATTATTTATTTATTAATGGTGGCAGCAACAAACTGTTGTACACATATTTAAAAACGGTGTAATACAGTTATATAATAAATCACTTTCATAGAGTAACAATGTTATAATTAAATGACAAATAGTCCATGTATACATGGCTAAGACGGAAATTTAGGTTTAAAATTCCGACTAACTTGTTTGATTCAAACCAGTTCAGATGAACAATGCCAGCTGTTGGATGTGTTACTGATATAATTCTTTCTTTCATTCAAGTGAACTCAGCTTGAAAACTTTTGGTTTGGACTGTTCGTTACTAGGAAATCTCTGTCTTTTATTGCGAAATTGGCCAAACCGATAATGGTGCTGATAGGCGTTACAGGAACCTTAGATTACGTAGTAATCACAAAGGATGACCTTACAAAACATAAGCAAAGATATTGAATTGGCTACTCAGAAATTCTGTAGTGAATTTTGTCGTAAATATTATTTGAAGCAAGTAACATTAGAATCTATGAAATCACATAAAAAAAGGTAATTTCCTTATGTCATAACATAAAATTAATGTCCATACGAAAAGACTTTGTTCTAAAGTGAAAAGATGAAAATGACAATTCATTAAATCCGCCCCTAGTGATAAATTATGCTTTGTTTTCATTATTTTGTTTCACTAACATTACTAAATTAAAAATTCATTTCTTAAGTTATAAAGTTTTGTTTTTTTTGGCAACCATCCATACTTGTCAAGACGAAAACTTATTTAAGGAACTGTCAGGTTCTGTCTTAGGTTTTACTATACCTATATCTTCTGTTTTTTAAACTTTTAGGAAATGGTGGCTAATCAAGTTCGCGCTGTCACTAGTTCCTCTGGTTCTGTCGTCACTGTTGCTAATCTAAATCCAACTCAGGTTCAAGTGGCAGCACAACGACTAGCAACTGTGAGCTTACCTTCTCAAACTGTTCCTGTTACTACTCCAACCAAAAGTAAGTGATTTTCCTTTAAAGTGTCTCGAAATATTTTAATTTGTAAAAAATTCATTCACTTTGAATATAAACAGAAAAGTGGATATATAAGGGCTACTCATTGCTGGCCATCTTACCTCTATATCCACTTCTTGTAATTGTGAAGTGAATATATTGTATTGTCAGATTTAATTTAGCTTTATATATATATATATATATATATATATATATATATATATATATATATATATACACACACACACATAAATATATTTATTACAAAACAATGCAAGAAAACATTGCGTGTAACTTACAATTTACTAGTTACATGTGAAGTACGTTCTTCAATATCTTATGATATTTGGTGTACTAATAGCTGTTTCAGGTGGAACTGTGACTGCTAATAAAGCAATGAGTGTTCAGATATTGCGACAGTTGCGTCAGCAGCAAACACAACTCCAACAGCAGCAGCTTCAACAGCAACAACAGCAACAGCAGCAGCAACAACAACAACAGCAGCAACAACAACCACAGCAGCAACAGCAACAACCACCACCACAACAACAGCAGCAGCCGCAGCAACAGCAACATCGTTTAACACCCCAACAGCAATTGAAGGTTCTGCAAGCTGCTCAGGCATCAGGACAAACTATTGCACCTGGACAAAAGGTCTCAGTGGCTATGACGTCAAGTGGTGTTGGAGGTGTCACAGCTGTTCAAGTGTCCCAGGCTGCTGCACAGAGGGCACAACAGGTTTGTAAAGTGTGCCATTTTTCATTATTAGTAAATTTTGGATTTTTAGACTAAATCTAAAAGATGATTTTTAGATTTTAAAAGAAGCTTGTGTAATTTTAAAAATAGGCAGTATAAATTGATGCGAAAATACTTTTTCATACTCATTTTATTTTATTTTAAGGTGTTTTATTAAAATCAGATTAAAATTTTATATTTTATTTACCTGAAAATTAGTTGGTTTCTTTCTTAATTATCTCACGTGAAAAATATGAGGTGACCATATTTTTTACAGATCAAGCTTAGTTAGGTAGAATCCATGCTTTTACGTTGCCTCTCCAAGTCAAGAAACATGAACACTAAGTGACAATTAGCTACAATTGCAATAAGAAAAACATGTGTTTATTCATCTTTTTTGTATCTAGCGTGGATTTGCTAGGTGATTCATATTTTGTATGGGCAGCTAAAATGAGAATGGGATTGTAGTAAGTGAAACAAAAAGGAAAAAGGAATAAAAATCACTGCCAAGATTTTGTTTCATGAATGACAGACTTACATTTGACTCCCATGACTAAATCTGTGTTTTGCCAGACTTCGAAATGAAATAAATTCAATTGATTTCGTTCTAACCTGTCCAACCGAGAGACAGTGATAAAAGATACACCTAGCAAAAAATTCACTAATGTTGGAAACTTTACCACCCTCTTACACCATCTTAACCACATTTCTAACAGAAGTATCAAGATATATGGGTTTGCAGTTCACAGTTAAATCACACAAACATTAACTGATATGAATTTCAAGTTAATAATTATCAAGTAAAATTAATCTTCCAAGTTTATGAAAATTTCCAAGGATTGTTTTCAATGGTCGTTTTATTTTTTTATTTTGATTGAAGAGGCTAATTAACTGCCCAACCGAAAGTAAAACTTTTTCATTTAAAATTATTTTATTTTCTTTCCTGGGTTTAACATGTTTTACTACGTTATCTAACCATGTTGTTAGAAGTGTATTTGTTGTGGGTTGTTAAAGTTAATTTGGAGGTAGAGGAAAAGCATTTTGTGAATTTTTCTAAGAGTTTTTCACAGTTTTAAACCCTCCTAGATCTCCAGAGTTGATTTTGGGTGCTAGTCATTGGTTTCTCTGTGGCATAAGCAAAGTGATTTTTACAACAATAGTACCTTTCTTGTTGTTGAAATGTGAAACAAGTATTTCTTTGATCCAACCACAGCAGACCATATCAATTTTAATAAATTATGATAGCAATGACAGGCTGATTTAGTAGCAGCTTTTCAACTAGTGAACTAGTTGTTTGTAAATTCATGTGGTGTGGTGAACATGGTAGTTTTGTTATAAGTATTCAATGCTTATGACTAGGATATGTTTGGAGTCTTTTAGTTAAATATTTAATTAGTAAGTAGAAAAGTTTATTAGGAAAGACAGAATCCTTAGTGTAAGTGTACTTTTCTTTCAGTTGATGAATATGAATATGAAGCAAGTTGCCGTTGCCACTGCTGCCGCTGCTTCCGCAAGTGGAAAGCAAGGTGTGTCGCGTGTGACAGACTCTGAAGTGGCTGCTCTCATTAAACAACAACAGCTGGTTGCCGCCCAAAGAAAAGGTCAGCAGTTACACGTGGCATCTCAACCTGGCCTTTCACAAGCTCAGGCTCATCTTTTAGCTCAAGCAGGAATACAGGTATGGAAAAAATGGAGAAGTATGTTCTAGGTCTATATGTATATTTCTAATTTTCAGACTGAAATGTGAATAAATATCAGAAATTTGGGCTTTGATATTGTATTACATATCCTAGTAAGTAATTGTTTGTGGTTATAAAGTTGTGAAAAGTTGTCCTGGATAGCTGAGATCTCTAAAAGTGAAGGATCGTGGCTGCCTTGGCTTGAAGGGTCATGGGTTAGAATCCTGCACCAGGCATGGATGTTTGTGTGTGTTCCCTTTACCCTTGCCCTGAAAGATATAAACCAACTTTAAAAAATTACAATAGTCATTACATGACCAGAGTAGTTACAAAGATACCTTACATAAATTAAAGTAATGAGAAATGTAAAGATTGTTTTTGTTTTTAACATTATTTGATCATTTGTAGCATGCAAAATTAAAATATTTTCATTAATTTCATCAAATACATTCTATTTTGAAATGTGTTCCTGATAATTTTCTTGTTTGTTGAGTAATTGGAACATACTATATGCCGTAGGAGGAATATATAGACGGCGACAACATCCGATGCACGAGAACCTCGGCATCAGACCTCCGAAAAGTTATTTGAGAAGATGGTTATGGGTATGTGAACCTGAAGATACCAGTCATTAATTTTTGGAGATTTCAACTTTCCTACAATTATGGACCGCAAACGGTGGGAGCTACTCCTCACAGCAGAAATTGAGAAGAGAAATTTATTAGATAACCTATACGTAGACTCAAATTCTCTGTTAGATGGTATCTTGAGCCAACTAGATACAGAGTAATCAAACTCTTGCAAGTTCTAGATTTAGTATTAAACAATGATTGAAATATCATTAATCATTCCCGCATGCTAGAAGGCGCCAAGTATTGGTCAAAGTTGTCGATTTAGGAGTGATTATGAGCATGTGGTTGATGACAGCAGGAACTCGCCGCGATGTGAAGAAATAGGGTGTCTCTAATAACTCGCGCCAGTCTCTAACGACGCAATTTCTTTCCGGAGCGAGATTGATACAACCGGGATAATGTATGTCACCTCTTACGCTGAACACCAAGGCATTACTAAATCAGAATATTAATGAAGAACTGAAACCAACAATGTTGAAACTAATTATGAGAGAGGTTTCGTGAAAGCGTCTTTAGGTCTTTTAAATCCTTAGCTCACCACGACATCAAGAATAGGAAAACAATTTAAACAAACTTTGGATTATATATGACATCATAAACAAAGCAGACGCTAAACGACAATGCATGGGTAAATATAAAAGAACGGACACACATGAAAATTAGCAAACACGCATCTATGAAACGTTTCAACAATGCTCGAAGTGTGAAACATGTACAAACGCGCTAAGAAAAAATGTTCACGGATGGTGGCAAAAGACTTTTTCTACATCCGAAGACAATACAATTGTTAAAAACTGGTCCTCCTATGATTATCACGAATGGATGACTTCTGTAATAACCGACCCACAACGTGAAATTGCGGAATGTTTTTCTAATGATTTCGGAAAGATATATACTGTTGAACCAGAAGGTCCACTGCCGACTGTTGAAGAGAGATGTACCGAAATTATTGAAAATATAGAATTTTCAAATATTGAAACTGCCCAAATAATGTGCCGACTGAATGCAAACTCATCCACCGGACCTGATGGTATTCCAACCTGTATCTGAAAAATTGTAATTTACAACTTGCTCCCTTACTAAATAAAATATCCAAGCAATCCTTAGAATTAGGGAAATTACCCACTGAATGGTAAAAAGCTGTTATCACACCGGTTTTCAAGAAAGGAGACAAAAAGTTACCCCAAAGCTACAGACCAATAAGTCTGACAAGCACAGTGTGCAAAGTCATGGAAAGGGTATTTGTCCACGGCTTCTTGATCATGCATTTGGAAATAATATCATCCCTAAACGACCAGTCGACATCATATATCTGGATTATGCTAAAGCTTTCGATAAAGTTCCACATCAATGTCTCATACACAAACTCTCATCTTTGGGTATACGAGGCAAGCTATTGAAGTGGATCCAGGAATATTTATCAGGCAGGACATTCCAGGTGACCATTGGAAATACACTGTCGATACCTCGTGCTGTTACAAGTGTTGTACCCCAAGGTTCAGTTCTAGGCCCGACATTATTCATCTTGTATACTTGCGACCAAGGTAATGAACTATCCTCGTGTTGGAATTGCTATGCGGACGACACCAAAATTTTCTCTAATCCATTAATAAACTATCAGACGTTACAAAATGACCTCAACAAAGTGGTGAGATGGTCTGAGTCCTGGTTATTACCTTTGAATGCACTGTCCTTCATTTAGGAAGTAATAACCCAAATATTGATTATACTGTTGGAAATCACATCCTCAACTCTATGACAGAACAAAATGATCTTGGCGTTATGATCACTCAAAATCTGAAATGGGATAACCAAGTGTTTACCATTACTTAAAAAGCCACGACTTAAAAAAGCCAATAAGCTACTATACCTGATTAGAAAGACATTCTCAACATTACGTCCATCTGTGGTGAAACTGATCTACACCGCATATATCAGACATATACTAGAGTATGCTAATGTGGTTTGGTCCCCCTATTATCAGAAAGATAAAAAACATATTGAAAAAGTACTAAGGCAGATTACAAAGATCCCTAGAGAACTACATCAACTTGATTATGAAGGAAAATGCAGAGAAATGTCTCTTCTAACATTAGAACAGAGAAGATGTAGAAATGATATTGTAGAAACGTTTAAGATCCTGAAAGGATTTTATAACGTTCCTGAATTCAACAACTTTTTCATTAAAGCCACGGAGTCTAGACTTAGAGGACACACGTTGAAACTGGTAAAAGAGAGGACAAGGACAGGACAACGTTCCCATTTTATTGTGAACCGAGTGGTAAATACATGGAATACACTTCCCGCACTTTGTATACAAAAGGAAACTCTGAGCGCCTTTAAGGATTGTCTGGATAGTCAATTTTTTGTGATCAATTGAATGATGATAAAATATATATATATATATAAATATATAAATATATAAAAATATAAAAAATAATAAAATATAAATATATAAAAATATAAAAATATAAAAATATGTGTGTGTATGTGTAAATGTGTATATATGTCCACAAGTGTTATTAGCTGTGATTTGTAATTGTGATCTAATTATAACTGTGTTACTCTATGAAAATTATTTATTATATAACTTTTATTTTACACCGATGTAATGATATGTGTACAACAGCTTGTTGCTGCCACCATTAATAAATTAATAATAATAATAATGATGGTTCCTTCCAGTAATATACAAATAAAAGTGTGCGGAATTGCCCAGCACGGTGTCAATTTTAAAGCCAACTTTGTTTGGGTGGTGTACAAGAATGGTGCAGTATAATGAATTAGTTTTGTGCTGTCGGACTTCTCTTGCTCAGCTTCTTCCAGCAGAATGTGAGAACAAGTTGGTCGATTGTCAGTGACGTATTAAAAGAGTGAGCAATGAACATTATCACCTCTTACAACAAATCAGAAATGCTGATGAGACTCCTGTTTACTTTGACGTGCCGTCCAGCACAACAGTTGATGAGAAAAAGTACCAAAAGTGTATTGGTTCATACTATCGGTAATGAGAAATCATGTGATGTAAGTTCTTTGTGATGGAACTAAGATGCAACCCTATGCCATCCGTAACCATAAAACAATGGTAAAAGAAAAGCTGCTGCCCATTGTCATATTTCGTTTGGGTGTCATTTTGTTGCAGCAAAAAAGGGTGGATGACCAATGAGCCGGTTTTGGCCACAGTCTGGAACAGGTGCTTTTATAAAGAAACTTGATAACTGATTCTTGATGCAGTCAAGGGGCATTTCACATCATCAATGAAAGAAGAAATTCTTAAAGTGAACACCAACATTGTCATTATTCTAGAAGGAATTACTTTGAAACTGCGAATGTTAGTTGTGATCATGAATAAACCATTTCAAGGCCATTTGAAACAGCTGAACAACAGTTGGTTACTTCAAGGTCAAGCCTTGACCCCTTCCGTGAAGTTAAAGAAGTCTTGAAGCCTCACTGTCTCTTATTTCAGAATGGATCTGGTCTGCTTGGACTTGCATATCTAGTGAATCAGTTATAAACAGCTTTAAGAAGAGTTGTGTAACAAATGCTTTAAATGGGAGTGAAGACAATCTAATTTGGGAGGAAGAGCCTAATCACAATGACAATGGCAGTTCCACCGCAGATTCTATGGACCATTCCTGTTAGAAAGATTGTTAATCTGACCAAATGAGGTCTGAATTTGCAAATGTAGATGTTTCTAGTATGTGCTTTACATGTTATCCTTCATTCCTCTTCTTAAAATGGGGGATCATCTTGGATTTGGATATGCAAGTTGGAATTCGTTTACTTATTTTAATTACAGTTAATCCAATGGAATAAAGCCAATTACAGGATTGTAGGATCTCATAATTATAGTGACATCACTATGTTGATGTTCAAGCTCCTGATTAGATGAAACTATCAACAGCTAATACCTGCCAGGGGCAGAGTTGAAAAAATTGCAGAATAGGTCTTTGCTTTTAGATGCGTCTTCTGAGAGAACTCTAGTTTTTTATGTACATAGTAAAAGATTAAAATCCTTCCAAAATAATCTTTTAGAATGCTTTCACCATATTATGGATTACCAGATCCATTTATAGATAAGTAGTACCAATTGATATTGGGGAAGTGATATTTCCACATCACTCCCTCTGCAGAATCATTGACCAAAAGGTTGTCCATCGTTTTAGAATATCCAACACTAGTTTCATAACTGGAAGTAACTCAGCCACTGCCTGGGGAAGAATCCAAGTGGCTGACTGCTCTGATTGGTTTTCCAAAGCTCATTAATACTAGGCAAAAGCTGTAGAAATAGCCTAACAAATGAACCATGGAAGATGCACAATCTTTCCTTCCTCATTTCCTTGTCCCCAACTCGCCCTTTACACCCACGTCCTGTAATCTACCAAAAAGGTTTTTTTTAATTTATTTTATTTTTTTTATTTAAGGTTGTATCAACTACTAGGTTGTTAGCGACCACTATTGCGTGTTTCAGTATGGTAACTATGAGGATGACACGATATGATGATGATAGGGGTGTGAAAGAACGAACACAATACAACAATACCCAAGGCAGGACTCGAACCAGTGATCCTTCGGTCTGAGATGGCTATGGCACTACTGCCTTAGCAATCTCGGCCATCTAGACCGGCAAAGATCTTTTTGTTCAGCTAAACCTGTTCTTAAAATTCAGGTCTTTACAAAAGGTCATATTTGATTTTTTTTATTTTGAGTAGTTAAGCATAATTTTAGAAATTGGGATGCAAATTCTTCGCTCTTTGGCTAGAATTATTAAAAAGTTATCAGTGTGTATTGCAACAGAGCTGCATGCTGCACCGCAACATGGTAGTGACACAATTCTGAGAATTGTATCTCATTATTGGAAAATGTTACAGCTGTATGAAATTCACTTTTAATTGTGGAATTTGTGTTAATATTTTAGCTATAAAAGAATTGCATTTTCACAATTTATGTTCTATGATTTGCAATGCATTTTACAAATGATGACTGATATATGTTAATAAAGATAGAATTTGCTGTTTAATAATATTATGTAACGGTTTCTAAGGATGAGGAAGTAAATGCTGTTTTAGCACTTCTAGTTATGTAAGAAATTAATAAAATTCGTTTTTAATTGTTTCTTTAAACTACTTACTAATCAATCAATTTTAAAATTATTAAATCTTGTCATTAAAATTTATTTATGCAGATGCAACAGCAAGCTGGGACATCTGGACAAACTCGAGTGGCAACTCTTGTGAAGGCTGTGTCAGCCCCAGGCACAGCTCAGAGTGTGACCATTCCAGTCACTGGTATTACTGGCATGACATTGCCCCAAATGAAAGCCACTCTCTCTCCAGGCACAAAAGGTACAACGCCTCAACAGATACGCCAGTTGTCTTTGCATCCCCAAATACTGCAGCAACGAAAACTTCCTATGCAGAAAGTTGCTCAGCTCACTCAGGTAAGATTTGTTACACGCTACAAGATATTTCTTTTGATTATGTAATATTAACTTCTTTCAGAACATTTTTTCATCCGCCTTAAATATTAACATATACTCATTTCTTTTACACTTGCAAAAAAATGAAACAGAACATGCTATTAAAATTTCACAAACACTATGAAATAAATCATGAATATATTCAGAATTTTAAAACTAACAAATAATCCTACACAAATATTTTTCTGTTGCATCTGACTGTAGATGCTATATAATATTTACCCCATACTTTAGCCCTTAGTGGGTGGTTGAAGGCTGTAATATGTCCCAGCAGAGTCTGGTTGTGATGAAAACAGGGCACATGTGGAGAGGAATTGGTACTTGGATTGAGAAATGGGATTAGGTTTAGAGGAGATGGAATATAGGTTTGAAATGGGATTGAGGATTGAGAAAGTAAGGAATGTGAAAGGGATGGGTTTTTGGCAGGAGACTACGTGGAAGTAGAATTCATGTTGTGTTGTGCCAGCTCACTACTGGGGAAAGATGTTTTCCAGCAAGTTTCATGTGAAAATCAAGTTTATAGATGGCAAGAGTATACTCAACAACTGTATGAAAGGAATCCTAATATTAATAAACATTTCTTTAGAAGAAGTTTAGAAGAAGAACCTACATAATAAAAGTAGTCATCTTAAACAGTTAAAGAATGGTAAATCTTCCAGGGCAGATGACATATCCATCGAACTGATAAAAAATGCGGGTGGATTCAATTGTGGAAAAAATATTAGAACTTTGCAATTTGAAATGGAGAAAGGAGAAGTGGCCACTTGAATGGAAGAGAACTATTTTCATTCCAATACCAAGGAATAAACACGGTTAGGAATGAGTTCACTATGGGACAATAGCATTGATAGTCCATGTAAGCAAGATAATACGTAAAATAATAAACATAAGACTTAAGCCCTTTAGGGAAAGAGAATTGTCAGTAGAACAAGCTGGGTTCAGGAAGGGCTGAGGAACCAAGAACCAGATAGTAAATCTTTGATGGACAATGGAAGAGAGTAGAGAATCCCATAGTAAAATGAACAAATGGTTTTTGGATAACCTAAATAAATATGGCCATACTAGGGTGTAAAGTAACTGTTAATGCAATTCGATAGTGATCAAGAAGCAAGAGTTTAAATAGAAGAAACCACTGTATGTTTCACTGTCAGCAGAGTCAGACAAGGATGTATCCTCTCCAGAACTATTCAATTTACATGCAGTGTAAATGTCATGTATGTCATAGGAGAAGCTAAACTGGATGAAATGAACATTGGCATAAGATTTGGGGATGCTGAATTAGGAATATTCGTTATGCAGATGACACTACAATAATGGTAAAATGCAAGAAAGAACTAGAAAAGCAATTACAGAAAGTAATAGAATAAAGTCAGAAATCAGGACTCAAGCTGGAAAAGAAAGGGAAGAAAGAAGGGGAAAAAACAGCAATAACAACATTGTCAGGACAGGAAGAGCAAATGCAGATAAATGATGAGATAAAATCAACAGATAAAGTTAAGTGTTTGGGAGTAACCATAACGAAAGATAGACATTGCATCGAAGAAATAAAAAGAATTCTTTGGAGAATGGCATCCAAGAAAAAATGTAATATATTTCTCAAAGGCTGGGTTATCAATAAATACCAAAATCAAGCTAACTCAAACCGTGATATTCCCTGTTGTCTATATGGCTCTGAGGTGGGACTCTTACGATATACTGTCAGAAGGAAATGAGGTGTTGGAGAAAATGACAGAAAATCCATTGGACACACAAAAGAACCAACCTATTTTTGACAAAGTGAAGCCTAGATGCTCTTTATAAGACAGAACCCTCAAACAAATCTCTTAGTCTTTGAATACATTGCAAGGAGATTGGAATCCCTGGAAAAGGCAACGATGTAAAGATAAGAACCAGAAGACATGGAAGATGGAAAATGAGTTGGGCACTACAGATATTGTGAGCTAACAGCCAATTATAAAAATGTTAACACCATGTTAAAACATCAGAAAATAGTTAAATAAAAAGGAGACACCAGATCAGAGTTTGTTAAGAAAACTGTTCCTTAAACATATACTATTTAGTCACTGCTGCATCTCTTGTTGCATTTTTTCCAACATATATTTTCTCACAACAGATATTAAAAGAAAATAGTTTTTCTCTTTAACACTGAGTGTTTACACAATCAAATGAAATGGAGTCTGCTAATTATATCTTGAAACACTTAGGGGAAAGAGAACTGTACATGGTACTTATAATACTTTATCTGCGTCATTGTCACTTGAGTTTCTGAAGAGACAACTTCATCAATAAGCGTACTAAAGTTTTAAAAAGTTAATAGGGACTTTAGGTAGAGCATTGCATACAGTAATTGACTGCAACCTCTCCACCAAGGTGAAGCCGACCAAGATATTTTGCACAAACATTTAGGTCAATATAGAAAAAGTTCCAGACCGTGGTAGCAATATCATCTATATTATTTGAGTAGTATATATTGCGGCTCTCACACGCAACCAATCTTTAAAAATGAGGTCTCTAAATAAAGAGAATTTCGTGGAGATATGATGAATTGCATTTCAACTTTATATATATTCACATCAAATGCAACCGGCAGCACATGGCTCCATTGTCAAAGTCTGTGTTGTTAAATATCTTCTTAAGAAAGTGCTGTAGAGCCTTAAAACCTGGAATTTTGAGGCCAAAGGCCTCAGAGAAATGTTTCCCATACTGTAATCTGCAGAATGAGATATATTTTGACACCCTACTACTTTTTTCCTGGTTCTGCACTTTTCAATACTGCCCAATACCCAGAGACCATCTTTTTTGTGAGGTCTCGCTTAAAAGGCTTAGATTCCTCCATCGTATGTTTACACTTTTTGTGTTCACTGTGGTTTGCGCCGACTGATGAGGTTTATTTGCATGATCATTAATTCAACATTTGCTTTCGCAGCAACAACCAGAAATACTATAATATCATCTACCTGGACTTCTCCAAAACTTACGACAAGGTACTACACTGACACAAACTTGCTCACACTTGCTAACTTTGGCATAAGGGGGATGCTTTTGCATTTGATACAGTCTTTTCTTGAGGATTGCCATTTTTCCATGAGAATTAGAGAAAATATGTCTTCACTGAAGAGAATCAGCAGTGGAGTTCCCCAGTGCTTGGAATTGGGACCAATCTTATTCATCTTGTGTACCAGCGACCTGCGGAACAGTATGCTCTCCCACTTCAAGATGAGAGCAGATGACACCAAATTCTACACTAACCCTCTGGTGAATCATCTTTACCTTCAAGAGGATTGAATAGTGTTTATGAGTGGTCGAGAGTTTGGATGTTACCCCTGAATGAAACGAAATATATGGTCATGCATATTGAAAGATCCAACCCAAAGCGAAATTACCAAATAGGCAGAAGGAACTCGTCTGAAATCAAGGTCATGAAGGATCAAGCAACCTCAAATGGGAAAACCACATGAGTAACTGCGCAAAAAAAAAAGGCTAACAAGTCTCTGCCTAGCTGTAAACTCATATTGAAAATTATACACTGATATAAAATTTAAGGTGTTGGTTTGCTAAGATTGCCAATATGTAAACATCATTTGAGTAACATTCCCATGAACCAAAGTGAAGACTAAGCGTACTGAATTGTTTTTAATGGTAACAAATGGTATTTAGTTCTCAGAGGTAAAAAATGTTAGTTTTATTATTTTTTGGTTCAGAGTTGCTGTTCTTCAGGCACGTAAGAACATGCGAGAGTTCTGACATGGATACACTAGTGTATGCTAAATTTAAAATGTCACATCTTCTTGATTCACATTTGTTTGACCAGAGCATCAACTACTAATATGTATATTCAAGTATGTTATATAATTATATTATTAAATAAATATAACAAGTAATGTATATGTAGATAATTATATATATACAGAGTAATGCCCCTAACTTGATATTGCTTCATGGGAATATTGAGCTGGTGCATGCACAGAGGGTTGAAAGTGCAGTCAATTGCTGTATTAAAATCTCTAACATTAACTATTCTCTTTTAAACAGTTGCATTTGCTGTTTTATTTTTAATGTTATGGCTACAGTAAATGAACCTACCTTTGAGTTGCAGTAGTAAAATCACGTTCTAATAACAGGTTTATAAGAGGGGGATCTGAAAATTGTCACAAAGATTTTCCACTCACACAAAATTAGGTAAGTTCTTAAGAAGGGAAGTGGGAAGGAATTTATGTTTGCTGATTTAAAAATGTGCCTCTTTTGTAGATGGATTTTTTTTCCTTCTTCATTTTTGTCAGACGAACTTCTCTTCTTGCATTTTGTTTGCTATGTGTGTGTTTTTGAGACTTGCCTCATGTATGCGGGTAATTCAACTTTCAATCTAGGTCTTTGAGACATAATTTCTTTGGTAGTTTCATCAACATGTTAAAAGAAATTTCTTCCGATCACTAAGATTAGTAATAGTGAAAAGTAGTAATAATGAAGAAACTAGAGATAAAGGATTAAGACTAATACCAATGGTGGGGGAGGAGTTCATTGTTTAGTACTTTTATTATTAGAATCTTTCTTAACCCTAAATTATAATGCATCTTTCAATGCTTATTGAATGTTTACAAATGGTTCAAAACTATCTATCTATTTAGCGGTTTTTTACAGCCTTGGCCGTTTTCCGCATCCCAATTTCCATGCCTCTTTATCCCAAACATCGTTTTCTTCCATTCTCTTTTTTCCATGGCTTCAGTTATTCGCATGTTCCATGTCTTCTCAGTCTTCCCTGTAATTTCTTCGATTTGTAATCACTCCAAATTTTTGAGGAAGTTATTTTTCTCGATTTCAACCTCCTCATATGTCCATACATTTTAGTTTGTTCATTTCGCTGTATTCGTCAAGTTGTCGCACTTTCATTTTATTTTCTTATTTTATCTTAACAGAGAAGTTTAAACATCTTCCGCAGAACATCATTTCTGGTTGATTGAAATTTGTCTTTCAATTTTTTTGATAGTGTCCAGACTTCTGCCCCATAGAGTGTGGTATCTCTGATGAACGTGCTATATGATCGTTTCTTTGTTTTCATTAGAGATAATTGATTCCATAGCAACTGGTTCAACTGCTCTATCGCTATTTTCCTCTATATTTTTATTTTCACACTCCTGTCGTCTCTACCCATCTGTGTTGTGTGACCTCAATACTTATTTGTGTTTTACTTTATTTATTCCTATAACTAGTTTCTAATATGGGGATCTACCATCCACCACCATATATTCAGTTTTTGTGTAACATTTATTCCATCCCCCATTTTTCATACTCGTCTATAATTTCTGAACATATCAAGGATACATCGTTCATCTTCATCCATTATCCACCTGGATTTGCAAAAGTGATAACAATGTTTCATCACCTATTTTCACACCCATGCCTTTGCACTTCTCTTTCCATTCTTTTAGGCTTTTCAATGATTATCTTAAACAGGGTTGAGATATACAGCACCTTGCGTAATCCTTTATTTTACTGGGAAGTTGTGTGATAGACATCTTCACTTTATTGATTTTGTTATTTATAAAGTTGTTTGACTCATTATGTTGTTTTGTATTCTTTTTTCTTCCATTGCCCCCCATACTTCTTTTACTGGTACAATTATCCATAAGTCTTTTGAGGTCAATAAATATTGAATTCCTTCCTCGCTTCAATTGTTTCTTCCATCAGTTTGTTTGAACAGAAAATATTTGTCATACCGATCTTCCTGTCTAAAACCCTTTGCTTCTTCTTGGAGTCTGATGCTTTGCATTCCAATTCTATCTTTAGCCTCGTCCTATTTTACAGTCTAACCAAAGATGAAGTCACACTTTATCCTCTATAATAATATTACAATCTTTTTACAACCTTTTTGTAAATTGAATTTATGTGGCTAATTTCCATATTTCAGGTATTTACCTCCTTTTAAAATGCCATTGAATATTTCAGTAATTAATTCCAAACCTACGATAGGAATATGTTTAACCAGTTCTATGGATATACCTCCAGCGCCCAGGTGCTTTATTATTTTTTTTCCTAAAAGCTTTTTTATACTCTTCCAAAGTCAATCTATGTGTGATGAATTTACGTGCAGTGTTCATAATCTTATTCCCTGAAATTTAAGCTCTAATTTTTTCTGTCAAAAGATTTCAATAGTATTTTGCAGTTTTCAATACCAATTGGGTCTACTAATGCCATTCTTGGTTGTATTCCATTCATGGAATGTAACATTTTCCATGGCCTCTCTGATTGGTGTTACCAAAGCACTTGTCCTAATCTGTCACATTTTTGTTCCCAGAATACATCTTTTGCCTTCTTTCACTTCTTCTGACCAAATATGTCATTCTGTTAGTATCACTTCTGTCTTTCTAAATCCTTGTGAAACATCTCAAATATAACTTTTTTTTTCTTCGACAGCATTCTTTATATCTCTGTCCACCACAGAAGTCTTTGTTGTTTATATCACATTTTCCCCTCCTCCCCAAGCTTCTTAGCGCTTATGAGTGCATTTTTCTAAAAAATTGACGTTATTTTTCTCAGTACTTCCTATTGGATGCTACTTAATTTTTCTCCATGCCAATTTGTACCAAAAATGCCAATTAGAATCATCTGAAGCTCTCATATTGTATTTCGCCAATCTGACTCTCCATTTTCACACTTTTGTAACTTGATTTTGTGTTTTCGTAACTTTTAAGTACGGTTGTTATACATAACGGTAAGCTTTCTTTTAGTAGGTTAGTGATCTATCCACAGAGAAGCACCTCTTTGAACGAACATCGCTCACTTTTATTGTGCTGTGTTTAGTAATGTAGGAATAGTCAATAACTATTGAATTGCAATTTTCTAGTGGTTGGGGTCACGTGAATTTATGTATTCTTTATGTAAAATAGCCATTCAGATTTAAGGTCATACAGTTTCACATGTCTCTATAAGTTTTCTCCGTTGTCATTTAATACATTTTCACATATCCGCCCACAACATTATGCGCCATTCGTTTCCAACTCTTCCATTAAAATCACCCTAGAAGCACCCTTCTTTAGCGATTTCAAAGAATCGCCAGCAGCATAGTCAAAGTTTCTCTAAAAATATATCTTTTCTGCAACACTTCATCGTCTGTTCGGAGCATAAATTCCCTATAATAAAAACTTGCGTCTCATTAGTAAGTTCGAGACATGCATTCTCTCATCAATTGCTACCGCACTTTGAATATTTTTCTCCATCTTTTATTACAGTTGACACTCCTGCTCTTGCTCGCTTTCTTTCCCACTCCGCTAAAAAGTAACATAATTCCTCTTCTTCAATTTTCCATTTCCTTCTTTTTGTTTCACTCAAACACTATTATATCTATGTTAACCCTCTATTGCGTTAAAAACTTCATTTACTTTAGTGCTTAACACTTTAACATTCAGCATCCAAAATCATAGACCCATTTTCTTGCCTTGTCGACGTCGTGAGTTAATCGAGGCCATTTCCATTGAGAGTTGAGCGGCTTTTTTTTTTCCGAGTATGAGAGGTGTGCTGGCCCCATGCCTCACCCCCTTCCAGAGACCGGGTAATTTCTTTTGAGGGTTTCTCCCTTAGAATTGAGTGTCTTCCAAGACTTCGGAGCTCAATCTACCCCTATTTGAAGTCAACTTCTGCTTCTAACAGAAAAAGGAATGTAATGTAGCGACCTAAGTTAGAAAAACGAAGCCTCCGAGCTACTCAATCCACCATTGGCTCCGGGTTCGGAAGATTTTAGTAAAGAAGATATCTTTACAGGTATGACAGCGGTCAGCCACTCCATTTTAGTAGGAAACCAGGCTAATTGCTGCATTCCCCACCCACCGGTAAGGGCGTGCAGGGCGATGGGGTCGCTACATCCCTACGCCTAAACTACCATGCATAATCACTTCATGGAAACTTCAGTATTCTCTTAGAGCCAGCCTGTAAACATGTCACAATCTTATCTTTGTATCTGTCAGGGTAGTGATGTTGCATATTTATTGCAGTGTAGTGGATGGCGAACTAGTTCTTCAAACAAACAGCATTGAAACAAAATGAAATGTAGAAAATGTTCAACTTATGCCTTTGCCAAAAGCTGAAATTTTTTTAACAATTAGTTCTTAAATATACTATTTATTTTTTCTTCAATTACTTTGCAATTTATTCTGAAGTCTGCCATTGACCTGTTCCCCGTTAGAACTTCTCTGGGGACCAGAATGTCATTGACATGCACTTGTTTGTTGTTTTTCTTACTAGGAACTTGTAAGTTGAAACCTCGTTGCTGTAATGTGACTTCCACTACCTTTTTTAACTTTTGGTTATAAAACAGACTATAAGTTTTGGATTTATTGAAGCATGTGTATAAAAGGTCTGGGATTTGACCAGAATGGGTGTAGCACACTAGGAAAAAACACCTCTTTTGCACATGAGTGATCAATGATCAAATGTAAGAGTTCTGTCAAAAGTTATTCTGAGGGTAACTTTTTGTGCATCTTTTCTAGCTTTTTGATAGTGTGGTATTCATTGAAATCCTTTTTATGCATTAGGTTGCTGGTAAGGCTGGAGTCCCTGCACAGTTGATAGTACAGTCTCCTAAAGCTATGCCGACAACTGTGACAGTTCAGCAGATCCAGCAAGTCATTAAACATATGCCACCTCAGTCTGTTCAACATATCACCCATGTAAGTGTCATGTTAATCAGCCAATTAATTAACTGTGGTTATTAACAATATCCTGCTCTCAAATTGGAGACTAATTTGAATGGTTCTGAGTTATTTACTAATGTATGTGTGTGAATTGAGTTTTGTGAGTGGGCCTGTGTTAATGTAATATTAACATCACTGCAACACTTGGCCTGGTATTTCAGCACAAAATATTTTTACATTTTTGCTTAATCATATTAATTTATCCAAAGGTAATTGGTCATTCAAAATTCTAAAATTATAAGATTTGTTTAACCCTTTGCTGTCGGAGATAATTGATAATAGGAACGTCCTACATGTCGGAAGGCATCTCTCAGATGACAGCGTCTATTGCGTGATTCAGTTGGAGGACATCTCAGAGATGACTGGATTTCCTTCATATTTCTAGATAAGATCTCCATCCAACAATGAGATAGTATGGTGAATCGGAAATAGATGGTCGGTTGAAATACTTCCTATCTGGTAAAAAATGTTTTGACACATTCTCTTGTCAAATTTGTTGTGGCAAGCGAACTCCATCCAGGTGAATGTTTTGAGCTGTTTCACATTCAAAACAAATTTCAAAGGAGTTTTGAATGTAAAAATTGATTTCTGTATACATTGTATACAATCTGTATACCTTTATACTAAAAATTTTATTTTTTATTTATAACTTTATTTTCATTCTCACATTCTTACATTAATAAAATAATTGTTTTCTTGCATTGCATTTAGTTGTTTATTTCTGAAATTGTACAATCAATAAATATAACTAGTAAAATAGGTCACCCACAAACCCTCCGAGTCAATGCGCTGTTTTCTTATGTTCTCTCAGATGCCTTCCAACCTATATGACGGCACATAAGCTGGGAAATCATTTGAAGATATCATCTCAGACATGCCATCCGAGTGGAAAGGGTTAATTCTATTTGAAATAATTTTGGGTAAAAAAACAAACTAGTTTTTTGTTTTTGTACCAAAAATAAAATTTTTTGTATTTGAAAATCAAAGCAATTGATTTGATTGCAATTGTTTTGATGAAATTAATTTTGAAAGCCTTGAGTTTTGAAACATAAAGAACTGTTGCGACCCTCCCTCGCTCTCTCCCTCCCTCCTCCCTTCCCTCCCCCCCCTCAACACACTCCCTCTCTCTCATACTTTCTTTTCAAATTGAATTAATTTTTTCTATTCTGCAATATGTTTATTTTTAGAAGATTTTATGACAACAATTCAGAAGGAATCCTCCAATGGTTATAACCTTAAATGTTAATTATTAACAACAAAGCACTCATTGATATATGTATTTGGATTTCTTGTTTTCTATGCATTTTGTGAAAATTTTCACAAAAATAAAGCACAAAAGGTTATAGAAGGATCAGAAGAGAGAAAAATTAATTTGTAAGTGATGTAGTTCGTCTTTGTTTACTCTGAAACAATTCTTGACATCGGTCTTTGATGACAAGAAAACTATTGATAAAAATGAGACTGCTTGTTACAAGGTCTGAACTTATAACATGAAAACATCAGTTTTATTAAAAAAATTGTGGAAGATGTCTCGTCTAAATGTTAAATTATTTATTGAAAATTAAATGAAGACAATATTTGGAGATGAAAAAAATAACAATTTATGCCATACACAAGGAGGGGTCATTTACATCACAAACACCTACCATGGATCAATATTTTGAAGGACCTCAGCTGTTTCTAACAATATTATGGTATGAGTTTGTTTTCACAAGAAACACAGCCATCAATGCTTCCTTCTCATTATAATTTCAAGTTAAATAAAATTAATGAAATGAATCTTCTCTGCATCATTAGGCCACATTATTGGTGGGTCACATCAAGAGCAAAATTTCACGTGATGATATTGTACTTAATTATAATTATAAATATGTGATGGACACTTTGGCAATGAGATATATGCAGAATTCAAAGAAGACTAATGACTGACATATGTACACAAAATTAGGATTAAAATGATGAAAATTTTGAGTCTAGAAGTGACCTTCAGTTTATGGTTTAAAATTTTAATATTCTCAAATATAACTACAAATTGTGTATAAAGAATTGCTGCACATAAAATATGTAGTATAAGTCTAAATAGTAAATAATGCAAAACAGCAGATGGGGTACAAGGCAAATGCTAAATAAAGATCTATTTTGCTGAAGAAAATAATCATATTGGTGTGGTACCCATAGGATCACACCAGTAATTTACAAAATATTATATAAATGTTCTTAATGCTATATCATGCTGAAAATAATTTAATTTTTGACTATTTTGGGAAAATTTTTCTTTTATGTTTTCCTGTTGGTGAAAGTTAAAAATCTATATTAACAAGTGTGGAAATGAATGTTAACAAAAAATGTCATTCATTTATATTAGATGGAAAATTTGAAACTGAAGAGAGAACAGTAATAGATGAAGAAAATAAAGGTGACAGGGAAAATACATAGTGTGGAAAAATAAATGAGAATGGATAGTGAATAAGATTTAAATGTCGATTTCAGAGAATCTATCACCCAGTCTTTACAATATTTTTGCTAATAGTCTCATCAAAGAGAGAAAGAAGTCAGCAATAAAGGGGATACACTTCTACTAAAATGCAAACATTACAAACAATCTTGTTTGCAGATGACATTGTAGTCAAAATGTAATTAAGCAAATTACACTTATGACATGGACATAAATTAGGAGAAAATAAAGAAGTGGTCTTCCAAGGAAAAGCTAAGCCAATTGAAAATTGTCACCGAAGGGTAAATAATACAAGAAATATCAACATTCCAATATTTAGGCTTCAACATAACTCAAAATTCTCAAGGATAACAACACAAAAGTTTGAATTACATGAGAATAAGTGGAGAAATCAAAAGACATTTGAGGAGAGAGATCACCAGAAGTTATATGAATTCACTATACGACTCAAACTAATTACATATCTTAGAAATCTGAATCCTAAAACAGAGGAAATGCAAAAGGCTCAAGTGAGATTTCGTAGACATCACCTTTTTTTATTTCTTGACTGAATTCCCAGAGAAACAAAGATGGCTGTAGACAACAAACGAAACAGAAATTTAAAATAAATCATAAGGAGCATAGGAGGAGGATTCCCAAAAGTTCCTCTAAAATACAAACCAATGGGGCAGAATAGAAAGACCAAAGAAAGATAGGGGTCATGCAGGAACAGTGAAAAATTAAAGTTTCTTTCAGGCCTACTGCTGAACCAGGAACTGTCCTTCATTGTTGATAATTTCAAAGAAGTAGAGTTACATTTCAAATGACATCATTTATGTGAAATAAAGTACAAGAATGAATTATAATAGAATGTTTGATTGAAGTACTTCAGTTTTGGTTAAGGAAACAGAAAATTTTTGAACAGAGAAAACATGGTCACCAACAAAAAATAAATCAACAGTGGACAAATGGAATATTGTTTTTTCTTCTCTAATTCAAAATAAGATTATTACTTGACCTTCCTTAAATAGGTAATTTGAAAAATTGATTTTCCAAAACTTTCATTACATTTCATTTAATAATTGCATTTGTTGAATTCTCAAATCCCTTAAGTGTACTTTCGAAACATTTCTTATCAAGTGTTGAAATTCATATTTTTATATTCTGTTTTGAGCTATGAAATCATGAAAGTTAACATGAATTGCACTTACCAGAAACCATTAATCGAAGCATTTAAGAGATAATTTTAAAAGGAAAATGATACTTGAATATAAATTTTGGAGGCTTGAAGAAGCAAGAAACAATGTACATTGAAACATTAAATATCAGTAGACATTTTCTTAATTTTTCACATGTATGGTAAAGGTATGTATTTCACATGCCTTCGAAGTTTGAGTTTTGAATCAGTGCATTTAAAGATTTTTGAACCTGCAAATTAAAAATTGTTATAAAGGAAGAGTTGCGGGAGGGAGCCATGAGCAGTAAAAGAATAAATAAATAAAAGAAAACAACAAAAAACCTGTAATTCTGTATTTGTATGATTCTTTGTGAGTGAAAGGAACTATTAATGTAATAGACAATATTAAAATGTTGTTCTTTACAACTTTCTGTTTTGGGGGAATGTTGTACATTTTCAAGACAATTATTTTTGGAATGGAAGGCTTCCTTTACTTTGAAATAATTGTGATGAAGAAATCATGAGAAACCTCACAGATGTTTGCAGAGGAGTGTTTCCTGCACTAGGTGTCAGGAGGTCAAGCCATCGTGTCGCAGCCATCTGGAAGCCAGGTGATTTCGCATGCTGTGCTTGCTAAAGGTTCTCAAATACCAGGAGGTGGGCAGGCCCTGCAGACACGTGTCATTCCCATGACCAGCAATCAACAAGGCCTCAAACAAACTATACAGGTGCTCAACCCTTGATTTATCAAAATTATGTGTAAAATTTAGACATTTTGTTTTGCTGATATTAATTGATAAATCATATTTTGTCATTTTTACAGAAGTGACTTATCTGAAAAACTGGTTATTCTTGACAAAGTATAACTCTTATTTTCAGTTGTTTATATGCTTGATGTACTTGTTCCATTCTCCTATGTTGGATGTAAGATTCAGTTGTTTCCCAACTCTGTTGCAAATTCACATTATTTGCATTGTTAGTTTTCATTCATTTCTGTTTCAAGTTTTGATATTCAATATAACATATTTAATGGTAACTTACTTAACAACCAGCTAATTTATAACTCTGTTGAAACAGTAAATAGGAAAGAAGTAAATTGAAGACAAGTTCCATTGCGTAGCAGGATAGCAGCTCTTGAACTGAAGAAATATTTTGTTTGTCCTCGTCAGCAAGAAATGTGATGAGTTGAGTACATACCAAGGGTGAATATATAAATTCGACACTTCAACTAACAATCACTTTGTGTAAATTATTACCAAATGAAGATTGTACATGAAAAATATATGAAACTTGTAAAAAGAAATACCTTTTAAAAATATTCTGGAAATCAACTTAACTGATTAAATGTGCAGTAACCTAACAGGCAAAACAGTCATGTAGTGTATGCCTTAAAATTTGTAATGTTCTTATCAAACATGATTTTTGACATTGATTTAGCCAGTGATAACAGTACCTTGAAAAAGTTATTGCAAGGAGATCCTGCAAGGTTGCAATCCTGCAAGATCAACTTAGAATATGTTATGAAGGAAACAAAATGGCAGAGATTATCAAATTCATTAAAAAGAAAAAAGATGACATGATAAAAGAAAGTCCAACAAGCAAACAAAACCAACCAAAAAAGGAGAAAGAAGTATTTTAGACAGAAGAAATTATAGCTTACAATGTAAACTCGATTTAAAAATTACTAGAAGATTGGGTGCTCATCAGCCAATTTAAATGTTGTTGTCAGAAGTCGTCTTTCCCAAGAATTTAAAATTTAGTTAGTAATCAATAGCTGAAGAATACGAACTACATCAGAAATATTAAAATATTCTATTAATAATGTTGAAAGGAGCCAAAGAAATTGGACCAATGTACCAAATATAATCAGACTAGAGCATTTGGAGAAATTTGTAGAACTGTCTTTCAGAAGGAATCTGTGTAAATGATAAAGTATATTTTGTAAATATTATGTTAGGGCAGCTTTTTATATAATCCAAAGAAAATTAAAATATTACGTAGTTTTGGAATTTTTGAACAGGACGAACGTCTAATTTATGGAACTTTACAACTGAATTTCACACTATGCAAAAAATAGTATTATTCTGGTTTTGCTAATGTTCTATATTGTTTAGATAACGTCAATAATATTTTTTCCTTACTAAAATGTCAGTCATCTAAAAGGAAGATAGCAAACCCCCCAACATTTCCTGGACAGCCAAGCTATGCACAGCCTGTGGAAGCTTTTGACTTGAAAAGTTGTTTTTGCAAACTGCACATTAATCTTGAGGCTGGGTGGCCAATTTCTGGAAAAACAGGGAAAATTTGTAAAACATGGGGAAATAAAACTTCAGAAATTATGGGGGAGAAATGTACAGAAATGGCTGGTCACGTAAAAAAATATATATTTATCTCAAGACTGAACCATGCCGAAAGGAAATAATGATGTGGCATTGTGAATACGATGAAAGTGACATGGCGAAAAGTACTAAGAGATAGTGATGATACTTTAAAGCATCATGTACAGTTATGAGCACATTATATGTTTCAAACAGAAATCAATAATTTACACTTCCAAGGAGGTGGTAATAAAAAAGTGATTAGTGTGTACAATTTATCTAATCTGAATTCTTGCACATTATAGGCTGAAATGTCATGATTGGAGTTGTGTCTAAAGAACAGAAATGAAAGATGACTTTACCAATATTTTTAACATGAACTTCAACATAAGGTGGTACATAAGGTGTAACATAAAGATAACTTTCATTACTGCATTTGTATACTAATCCTAGCCTCACTTTATCAAAATCCTTGTAATTATCACAATGCAGACATGCAAAACTATTATGGATTGCCCCTAATGATTATCATGTGTAATGTAGAGTTTCATATTGACATGAAAACTTCGCTAGTGTATTGGTTTCTCTGGGTGTGTAAATGCTCTTGTCTTAACACCTCATTCCTGCTTCAGCATTACCATTGAATCCATTATTTTCAATTTTCACATTTCTAGTTTAAATCTGGCATAGGAATTCACAATATTTTAAAATATTATTTTTACTGAATACCATCTCTTAGTCAATAAAACAATTTATTAAAAATCTGTTGTGATGTTTTAGTTAATTAATTTATTTTTTACTTAAGTAACTACTAATCTTCTAAAACTCCCTTATTTTTAAACGTATAAAATACAGATACAACTTATATTTGTTTGTTATTGCGTTTTTTCGAAATGATTATCTAACAATGTTTCATAATAATTTAACCTTTTTTCCTGAAAATGAGGTTTTTCATAATAGGGATTACAATGTTTCAATAAAGTATTATGAAGAAAATATATTTTTAAACTGTAAATAATATTTATTTAAAAAGTGTTGAATCATAAAGTTTTTGAAAATTGAATCTGAAACAAAACAATTTGTTTGCTGGTCAGGACTTAAAAGTCAGAAGATTCCAAAAATTCTTATTTTAGTTCTTTGTTTAAACATTTTACTTCATTTTGCTTTGATGCACTTTTTAATGTCTTACTCACCTGTGAAGATTCTTTAAGGCAGAGAAATCAGGAAATCCCAGGGAAAATACTGGGAGAACACAAGGAAGCATTCAGGGGTCACCTGTAAAATCATTAAAAATGCATGGTAACTTGGGAAACTAGTGACCGTTATGAAATATTTTTGTATCTTCTGTATTCTGATTCATGTTCTGTACTATTTTAATTTTTCAAAACATTTTTTTTCTTTGGCATATTTTTCATTGGTACCATCATATACTCAACTTAAAATATGCCTTTTTTCACATCTTTGTGCCATAACTTGCACATAACTATGGAATTTCATTACTTTTGCTTTGAGACATTGAGTGTAACAATTGTACAGTACAATTTTACTCTATCTAGATTAGTGGCTTTACACCTAGTGTTGTAGCAGTATTATCAGTGCTAATTTTCTTCATCACTCCTACCTCTTTCGTTTTTTTTACCAATCAGTTATGACTAGTGGTGTTACAAAATGGTTTAGACTTTCTTGTACTGGTTAGTTTTCTTATTTCTTTGAGCTAGCTTTTCAGTTTCCTCATCTTCTTGCTATCTGCCATCTATCGCCGTCCAACATACATTGCTTTTAAAAAGAAAAAATTCTCAATTTTTTGGTTTCCACATGGTAGAAAAAATACATTAGCATAATTTAAAAAAAAATGAAAACAGCAAATTAACTTTTGTGTCATCTTAGTGCATTTAAACCTACCTGAAAGTTTCAAGAAAAAATGTGGAGCAGTTTTTGAGAAAATGGCAAATCAGTATTTCTAAAATTGAAGCAGAATGAGCTGAATTTCAAGTTCATTTTCTCAGAAAACTTTTGAGTTTTAGACAAACTTTATAAGACTTAATTTGAAACGCCTGTTCTCATAAATGCAATAATGTAAACAAATCGCCGCTAATATTAACGACATAAGAGACTAGGCGAAAAAAACATTTTTTGTAATAAAAAAATAATAATAAAAGAACAGGATGAAGTGGCTTTTATGTCATCTTATACAATACGTTTAGTGATATCCCTTCCAAAAATTTGGAGCAAATTCGGAGTAATATATGCAGTATAGGGAAAGTTATGAAATGCTGTGTGAAAAAATGGCAGATTTCCGGAAGAAAAAAATTAATTGCAGGGCCCTGATAACAAAAAAGTGAAAACGATAAATCCAGTTGCTAAATTAAGAAAACAAAATCCTCTAACATTAGTGTAGCCAGAATTTCTGCTTTGTGGGTCCTTGATACAGAAAAATCAATTGATGACAAAACATCCGTCTGGTGTCTGTAAAGCTACTAGCATCTAAACCATCCATACAATTTTTTTCCAAATTGAAGAAACTGACGTCCATCTGGCTCAAGTTGAGACTTTCAGATTTTGAAAAACATTCTTCAAAATTCAGGGGTACTTTACATAAAGCCCTCTGGACATTTTCAAAATTTTCTCAGAAACTGCACCATTTTTTCCTTTAAATTTCTTGTAAGAGTAGAGTAACATACACTTATAAACATGGCATAGATCCAATTTTCACAGTGAACTCGGAAATTTCGAAAGTATAATTTTGTAGTTGTAGGAACACTGAAAAATAACCCCAAAGATTGAGATTTTTCCTTCAAATACTATTTGTTCTCCATTGTGAGTTCTTTCATTAAGGTTATGTACATTTTTTTTGCAACATTTAGTAGTGTTCAAGCAATATTGCATGCATTATGTGCAATTTTAAAACATTACAAAAACAAGATTTTCTTGAAAACGCCTCCAACTTTTTTTTTAAAACTTTTGGTAGGGATAGCTCTCAAAGTACTCTAATAGATGACATGGACGCCATTTTGCTCTGTTCTTTTGTTTTTTTTAATTACAAAAACGTAATTCTTTTTACTTGTCTCTCATGTTGCATGTGCTATTTGCTCTCATTATTGTATTTATGAGTACAGGTGCTTTAAATGTCATAAAGTTTTTTGAAAACTGTAGTTTTCGGTGAAAACTAGCTTAAAATTCCACCCGCTTTTTCAGAAACGCCCAACCTCCATTTTCTTAAAAACGGCTCCTAATTCTTTCTTCAAACTTTTCGGAAGAATTGTGCTAAATTGCACTCTTTAATATGACATCAAGTTTATTAGTTTATTTCGGTGTTGTTCTTGGGTAGTTTTTTCTTCTTCTACTTCTTCTTCTTCTTCTTCTTATACTTCTTCTTCTTCTTCTTCTTCTTCTTCTTCTTCTTATACTTCTTCTTATACTTCTTCTTCTTCTTCTTCTTCTTCTTATACTTCTTCTTCTTCTTCTTCTTCTTCTTCTTCTTCTTCTTCTTATACTTCTTCTTCTTACACTTCTTCTTCTTATACTTCTTCTTCTTCTTCTTCTTATACTTCTTATACTTCTTATACTTCTTATACTTCTTATACTTCTTATACTTCTTATTCTTCTTATTCTTCTTCTTATACTTCTTCTTATTCTTGTTCTTATACTTCTTCTTCTTATCCTTTTTCTTTCTTTCTTTCTTTCTTTCAAATTTACACAAATGTAATTTTTTGAAAAATCTCTCATGCCATTGATAATCACATTTCCTGCGATTTGTATACACTATTGTATTTGTGAGTTAAAGTACTTTAAATTACTTCTAATAAAGTTTTTCAAAACCTCAGAAATTTTCTTGAAAATGTTTCAAATTTACAGTAGTGTTTAAATGCCAATTTTTGAAAAACAGCTACATATTTTTTCAAAGAAAGTTGCCATTTAGGCCGAGGTTTTACTGTTCTTTAATAATTTAAAAATAAAATTTGTGCTCTACAATTGGGAAACTGAAAAATTGAGAAAAAGTGGAGGTGGTGATAGATGGCCACTGGCAAGAGTATGTGGCAAGTCCAAATAGCTAGCTGAGACCAATGAAAACGGAAAACTAATATGGGAAAGTCTGTGCCATTCTGTAGCACCACTAGTTTAATATAAACATATTTCATGCAATATTGATCGAAAACTACTAAAATAGTTGAAATAAAGCACATGACATTAATGAACTAATTATGTAAAACAAATTTCACTTGAAAGAAAAATCAGTATGTTTCATTTTATACTTGTAGGAAGACACTAGAAAATTTTCAAACTTGTGCAATTTCCAAAAATTCAGAGTTAACTGAAAATTGGACCTACGTTACATCTATAAGTGTATTTCACTATTCTTACATGAAATTTAAAGAAAAAATTGGGAGCCATTGTTGTGAAAATTTTGATAACGCCCCAGGGGCTACGTGTCATAATGGCATGAAATTTCATTATATCATGAAAAATAATGAATATTTTTCAAAAACACAGACCTTTGAGTTAGGCCAGATTGACAGGAGTTTATTCTCTTTGAAAAAAATCGTACACGTTTTTCAGCGCTAGTGTTGTTCACAGACAGACAGATTGACGGAGATTTTCAGAGAGAAACGGGGACAACACTTTTTCGGTATCAGGAGCCCAAAACATGTATTAACATTATAGAGAGATTTTTCTTTCAAATGAAATTAGTTTTCCTTAATTAGTGCTTTCATGAAGTCACAGGCATTTTCACTTCCTCATATACGCAAGTATAGAGAAAGTTATGTTGTGCTGTGCGAAAAAACGGCGATATAAATATGTAACATAAATTTTAAAAGATATTGATAATAACTTGAAAATAAATATTGCTAACTCTCTTTTGCACATTTGTCTTCAAAACATCTAGGGGAAAATGTCTTAAATAGAATACAAATTTAATTATTTTTATAAATTTCTTCTTAATTGATGATTTTTTATTAGTTATATTTTAAGTTTTCTTTGATTGTGTCTGGTTTTAATCTGCTCCCTTGTCTTTTAATCTGTGATTTTATATAGTTTCTTTTTGTTTCAAAATTACTTAATGGTGTGCATGAGGCTGTTATTCAAATATGTTATTTATTGTTTAATATCTTGATATTGTTTCCCATAGGTTGTTACAGCAGCCCCTGGTGGCAGGACAACAGTGCCCAATGTGACAATTGACTCTGCAGGAAGGCCAACAGTCAGTGTAGCTTCAACTTTGGCATCTGCTCTTGCTGGAACCATTAAAGTCAGCCCTTCAGCAGCACAGCAGCAGGCTCTCTTGTCACAGGTAGAGAAGAGTCAGAATTATGAGAATGGCAATTAAAAACTCCATGAACCAGAAACCTTTCTGTAAGATTGCTATCACAATGTGAGTGAGTGTGTGAGAGAGAGGCAGAGAGAGAGAGACACACACACACAGATAGACAGAGAGAGACAGACCAACACACAGACAGAGAGACAGACACACAGAGGGAGGGAGGGAGGGAGATGATGACTTTCATGGTCATTTTCATCGCACAATAGTCAAATCAAACCAAGTCTTGGGATTCATTAAAAGATTCTGCCGCGAATTACACTCAGTAGTGGTCTTGAGATTACTCTATGTTATGTTTGTCAAGCCAGTATTGATGTACTCTTCTGTGGTTTGGTCTCTGTTGTTGTTATTTAGTTTTCTTGATCTTCTTCGAAATATAAATCACAAACTGAAACAGTCCAATACAAATTTTTCAGAATGTCAGCCTATGGTTTGGGATTGGAAGGTCCATATATAAAACATGAATATATTGACTTGGCTCTTCAATTGCACATTCCTTCACTGAGTTCTCAGAGACTTTAACTACTTGTTGTTTATGAAAAAACTGATATTGGTTGTGGTCGATTGCAAAATCTTACAAAACCAGATAGTGTACAAAACACCTAACTTTACTTCTAGAACCAATGATATTTTTGATATTAGATTTTTCCGTCAATCTTACACAGCAAATAATGTTATAAATGAATGTTGCTAATCAGTCAACAGTTTGAATATTAATGTGCGTGAAATGGATAAATCTGCTTTTTTATCACTAGCGAGCAACAAAATCTTAAAATTTGAATGAGTTATACCAGATATATTCCATATGTTATTATTGAATGTTTTTATTTATAAATGTTTCTATTTTTATAATGTATCTGTACCAGTTTGGTGATTTTGGAAGTGGGGATGTGGTTTTCAATAATACACTCATTTAAATTTAACAAACAAAACATATTTAATATCTAAAACAATGGCATGGATGATAGATGATATTACATGGAAATTTTACAAATTTGATACATGCGACCTTTCTTTTAATTTTGATTGACTCGACACAAACTAAATTAACTGGTTATGCTGCAATGAATGCTAATGCTAATGGCATCTTTCTGTCAGTTTCTCTCAATTAATGTCCTACCACATTTTAGCGAGAGTAAAGCTGGTGATTGTCGTTGTTGTCGTTGTGTCAGTAGAACATACCCAGGTGGTGTTGACCGGCGGGTAGGGGCGGGTCGCCCCGGACAGCTGCAGCCAAGACCACGGCCGCACTCCAGCGACGCCGCGCCCGTCTCGCTTTGCTCAGGTCGAACCCAAAGATGGATGCCCCGACCGTCAGGCACCCACAATTCGCGTAGACGATATATGATTGGAATTCATCTAATTTCCCGAATCAAGCAATCGCGGACGGTTCACTACTGTAGTGCGGGCTAAGCCGGTGTATGGCACATAGCTGAGTGCAACTGCGCACGTGCGAGTACAGCTCACGGCCAGTGAAAATAATTTCTAAGAGCCAGAAACTATGTCTCTCTCTTCGCGCCGCACTTCCCCCTGTGTCGACTCACACTTCGTCAGTGAGCCTCCTCCTGATTGACTAAAATAAAATTTACCTTTCTGCTTTTACCACTCCTTGAAATCATTTGAATGGACTTCACTACCATTGTCCATTCTTATTTTTGTCACTTTTAGGATTTGGACATTTTTTCTGACTCAACAATATATTATTCCCTTAGGAACTTTTCTCCTTCATCCTTAGTTTCAAGAAGGCACATTTGAACAAAATGTGTATAATCAATCACAAACACCATAAAATAAATCTTGTCAAATGTAGGTGGGTTGATTTTACCACACAGTATGTATTATTTCCAATGGTCTTGGTGCTCTCTGTCAAATTGTATGAAACGGATTTCTTGTAAGTTTGGCAACTACAGGTTTCACACAAGGATTGGTTTTCCTCTTCATGAGATCAAGCGATATACCTGTACATAAAATTGGCAAACAAATATGACCCAATCTTCAATGCCATTTCATATATTCCTCATCATGTTGAGTATACAAGAATTCTTCACTTTGACGGCTCATATCATTCAAGGTTCTTGTGAGCTCAGTCACATTGGACACATTCTTGAGTATCACCTTATCTGTTTCAATATTACCAGATAATTTTGCAGTCATAGCTTCACCAATCTTTGCACTGAAGATTTGCACTTCACCGGAACATTTTGTGGTTTGTGTTGGTTAATTCTTTTTGCCTGTTTGTCATGTGTGATGTACAACCACTGTTCACAACAAAAGTATTATCTTTTAGTTTTACACCAAACAACACTTCACTCAAGTATGATGAAGTTTCTTCTTTGTTATTAGATTGGTTAGCACATTGATCCATTTCTGTAGAAAACACTACTCTTTTCTTCCTTTCATGTTGCTCTTTACAGTAACAGTTTTCAGAGGAGTGATTTGTTTTTTTGTAATAAGTACAGGGAGGGAACTGCTCGTTGTTTTGATTTTTGTTTTTGAAACACCCATCGTAGTTGTAATTAGTTTTGACAAGACCTACAACATTTCTTCTTAAAGCACTTTGATTTTATATGACCTACCACACCACACTTATAGCACACAATGTTTGGCTTTGGATTGGAACTTTTGGGATTTGGGTTTGAAGTCTTCTTTAGAGCAACAAAAGCAGCATTTGGTTTTTCCTTATTACTTGCTGATTTGTACTCTTCTTCAATAGTCTTGCCACAAGATTTTCAATGATCTTGCCTAAAGTGGGAGTTGATTCCCATGCACTTGAGAAATATCTATTTTGTTCTGGTAAGGAGTAAATAATTTTTGCCATAACCATTTCATCAGATATATCTTGTTTAAATTGTTTTAGTGTGTAAACAATATTTTAAAGATTACTAATGTTCATCATAATATCGTTGCTTTTATCAAACTTGAATCCATTGAAGCTCGTCAACAACTGTTGTTTAAGCTGGTATCTCTTCTGTGTATTGCTTTCAGGGTGTCATATATTTCATTTGAAGTGCCACATGTCAAGATATGATTTGCCATTTTATCAGTGGTTCTTACAATATATACTGTACCTTGGCATCCTCAGTATGCCATGCTTTTTGTTTAGGTTCTTTGCTGCCACACTCACCCAACAGTTTAAGCACCAGACACAACTTCCCATGCCTGCTTTGCTTTGCAAAAAAATCTGTCTCTCAAAGTCCCAAAGCTGGAAAGGGGCAGATTTATTAAGTTTCGTCACATTGTTCAATTCAGTATCTTCTGATACCATGATTCATCTTGTTCTGGCTACACTTGTGGTGAATTCTTAATATATTTTCTAGAATATTTTACCAGAGATACTTTACCATTTTATTATAACAGTATTACCAGAAGCATTTGGCACTGTCTGGACCCATAACCTGTTTTGAAATTTAGGTTTTCTATTATCTGGTTGCACAATATTATAAAGACAACACTGTTTTTAAACATGTAACACATGGTACGCCAAACAAAAAAGCTGTGTATTATTTTATTGCTTGCCAACATACAACGAAATACAACATACAAAATATAACAAAAAACAAAAGAGTATCATTGATACTAACTTTAAACATTTGCATTTTAATGTTTGTGCATTCCAACACAATCAAATACTGTCCTTTGCTGCAAGAACGATTTAATTTTTAAGTTCCTACTTTATTACTCAGGAAAATGCACACTTTCAGAATTGATAAATCCAACTTTTTCTATACAGCAAATACCCTATCAACAGACTATGTAGAACAATGAACAAAGTCCCTATTGATATAAATCAAGTGTCTTCTTGCAGTTTTGCAACCAAAGGTAGAGAACTGCTGTTGCGCTATGATTATTATAATTACACAATGTGTAACTCATTTTTCTGTTAATTCATATATTAATTGTAAATTGTGGACTTTGTTAATAAATAAATAAAGTCCACATTAGAACCACAGCAATGTAGTTGAAGCAAATGTAATGTATTCATTACAGTTCTGTAGTTTTCTAAATGTGAGGGAGAGAGATAATTATAGAAAACATGTTGTGTGTGTAGGTGAGTGCTGCACTCCAGGGTCAGCATGTACAGCAAATACGACAATCTGGATCGAGTCCAATGCGAATCCAAGCAGTGGCTGTGCAGCAGCAGGGTCAGGCTCTTCCTGCAGTAATCACTCAGCCAACACCCCCACAGGCTCCTAATCATCAGGAAAATGTAAGTTGGGCTTCTTTACATGTATGAATACTCAGGATGAATCAAATTTGCTTTCAAATCTGCTAGATTGGTTAATATCTGTAATAATGCCATTTCTATAGACAGGAATTCATTGTATTTTTGAAGTAATAAAACAAAATTAATATTGGCTAAACAAAGAGTTGGGGGACTTATTGGAAAGTCGGAACTGCTTTCAATACAGTGTGTCTGCATAAACATGCTGAAATTTCATTTCTCCATGATAATGTATGTATAAGTTACAATGTGTGACACTGTAGACATCAAGCATATGAATACACTGACAGCATTATGAAATGGATTTCCAAGAAAAGTATATCATGCATGATTTATCTTATTGTAATGTATCTCGACTCTTAGGTCTCAAAGCAATTTGCAATCACATTGTATATACATCTAAAAGTATAAATAGTGAACTTCCTTTCTCTCGAGCAAACATTTATTTTTGGTCTACAGTATCAGCTCAGTTTGCTCTTTATAGAGAGATTTCCCTTTATATTCAATCTATTATAGTAATATTGTATCTTTTTAAAATTAAATAGTAATGGTAAAATAGTTATTCAAACCAAGAAAAACCTTGAAAAATCTAAGGTGCAAAATTTGAAAAAACACTATTTCTGAGTAAAGACATCACCATATCAGGTAAAAGCTTCCATCTCATAATTCAAATTTATTTTGCTAAATTTGTGAAGCATCATAATATTCATTGGGATCTTGTGATGTTCACTGTCTTCACCATTTTGACACCCATTGATTTAAATCATTACAACACTACCTAATAATTATTGTGTTAAAAGTTGGTTTGCCATGATTATTTATATATACTTATTCTTTTTCTTTAGCAGACTCCATAATTCACCTTTGAAAGAAGAATTAGGAGCACAGGGATGATATTTGAAGATGATTTGTGTAAGATCTTGTGAACAGACTGTTGTGAAAGGCAAGATCTACTACTGATCCATCAAATATTCCAGTACATCGATTATAAATTGACTGCAGCTTCATTGGGAAGACAGACAAAATTCTTGACCCTAAGAGGCAAAATGTGGAATGAGAATTGCAATGGTTGCCTTTTCGAAGTCCAAGTATTTAGTACTTTCAGAAGACTCCTTTCCAATGTATTATGTTGCTGTCATTTTTGGTTATACGTGCAACAGTGTGATGTTATATGTAATCATTGTTCTGTGTTGTAGAATTCTTTTTGAAAGAAAGAACCCATATTGTAATTTTTGTGAAAAGGAATTGACTAGATTCCTTTAAGCAGTTTTAAAGGATTTTGAAAAGAAGCACTAATCTGTTGTACAGTTCGAATTCGTGGAATATTGGTGATATAAGAATTTGACTCGGAAAAGTTCTTACATCTGTAAAATTATTGCCAGTATATTTCCGTGTGTTTTTTTTTCCCCGATACTTCATGTGATGCACTGGCAATGGACATGCTGAACTGTTGAATGTCACTACGTATGTGAATCGTGTACATTTAATGATTACTTGTGAATATTGTAACTGTAGATAAATATCAAAACGAATTTTACTAGATATAGCAGAATGTTTATAATGTAAGCATGTGTGTTCGTGATTATTAGTGAATAATGCGAAGTTTTTCATACTGTGTGGATATTGATGTCTGAAATTTGGGTGATTCGATTTGTATGTCTGTTGTGTGTACATTGTTATATCAAACGGTGCATGACTCGGTACAAAATTTGAAGCATTGTAATATTAGAATATTGTGCAAAAACTAATGTTTGTTAACTTTGGTTGTTAATATGACAACCTAGAAATATTGGAATCCTGAATAAGAGAAAATGCTATAAAAGTGTTCTTTTGTGATACCCTTGATTTCCTATTCTAATGCCTATATTTATTTTGACAGCAGTTTTGCTTTTAACCAAACATGTGTAAAGTGGTTTTGCTTCTTTATATTGTAGCTCTACATAAGTCTAGATCAGTGGTGAATAATGACTTCAAAAGTGGAGATGGTTCACAAAATGAAAATGTGGAGGAGTGACCAAAAAAACCAGCCAGTTCTGAGGCTCTTGGCTTTGAAACCAGCCAAGACCTCCCTCATGATTTAATAGGGCAGGTGAGGTATACCTCCATCACTGGGAACCTACAACATTAATTTTTCCAAAATTTTGTATGAACAGTTTTTTTTAAAAATATTTATCAACTGCTTGTTTGCTGCACTCTTCGCAACTTTCTCAACAAGTTTGCTCACCCTTGCCCTCTGTATGATCTTGTCATTGTATCGTGGAATAAGCTGCATACACAAGGATTTGAAGTTCATTTATGTCCTCTTTTGTCTGATCCCCTCTCCAAGTCTTTGATATATTGACTAATGCCATGGAGCTATATGCCCCTTATAACCCAGTTTGTCATCACTGGCAATCTATGGTTTATCATCATCAATGCTTTACCATCACTTTGTTGAAGTCTCTTGGAAGTTAACTAATGTGTAAGCATTATAATTGTAGATTATTTTCTCTTATCTGCTTTGGAGTTAATGCTAGAAAATTAGGATGTGATTATAACTCATGATATACAAACATGAAGTGTGTGCTTAACACATCAACTATACACATTTGTAAATAGCGAAAATGTTTGGTTGTAACACGAAAGTGCTACAGCTGGCACAAGCCACCACTGGTCTAGATTTCAACATCTCATTGCTATTAGTAGTTGTATCCATTAAAACAAAAATTCCAGTGGAACATTAATATGAGTTTATTGGTTGATCTCATTTCTAAATGCAATTCTTTAAATCCTGGTGTTTGAGTACAAAAAATTTTTGTGGGTGAATCACTATTGTGGTGTTTTGACATGGACACGCTTACTTAATTGTGTTAATACGCACATAACTATGACATATGGAGAAAAAATAGCTCTTTATTGTCCAGGTAGGAACATGGGTCCATCTAAGCTTTTGTAGTAGATGTTAGCAAAACCTGGACAAATGCCAGGATAAGAATGGCAGTGACTGAAAAACAAGCATATTCATATTTCATGCATTAAAATAATCATGAGCAAAATTACTCTAGCCAAACCAAGTTAAAATGTACATTATTACAATAAACAAAATGTTGAGCTATTGTTTGTTTTAATTTTTATTGAATCTCAATTTGTATTATATTAATGAAATCATAATTGTTGAGCCTTACTCTTTTCCTTTAAATCAATTCTGCTAAAAGTTATATTCTCTAATTTAAAACAGTTCAGGATACATATTAGACTTTAACAACTACAAATTATAGAAACATTATAAAATTAAGTTATTCACTAACCTTGAAGAACTTCTCTTAAGTTTTGTGAATGGACCTAATTGTACCTGATATTCTGATGCCAGTATATTGGAGGATGAAAGCAAAGGACAAACCATAGGGGACGATTACAGCTTTTCATTCCATAGTTTGAATGTAAGTGATCAAGCTTTGTGTTTAATTTAGTGTTTTTGTGTGCAGTTTTATTTAGTGCAGAAATAAGTTAAAAATATTGTCCAAAGAAAGAAACTGAGAACAACCAGACAATAAATATGTGTTGTTGGTTTTTTGAGATATTTGATTTGCAGGAGATGTAAAAGATAATTTTCGAAATATATTGTTTAGATTTATTTATCCAACGGATTGTAATGTCAAGAGAAGACAATGAAGGGATACAATGCTTAAAATGGGGTAGCTACAAATACATTGAGGGATTGGACAAAGTAATATGAACACCTGACATATACAAAATATGTATTTATTAATAAGATATTGGTCTACCATTTGCTTCTAGAACACCTGTAATTCGTCGCAAAATACATTTTTCAAATCTGAATAGATTCCTCCGGAATGTTCTCCCATTCTTGTATCAAAACATCCGCCAATTGATTCAATATATTGGAGTTGCAAATCTGCTCCTTGTTCTAAAACAATCTATAACAATTCAATTACATTGAGGTCTGGCGAATGTGCTGGCCAGGCAAGATGTTTGATGATATTCTGATGCTCCGCAAACGACACGACACTTGAACCTCTTTTTGCTGCGTCTATGGGCGTGTTATCGTCTTGGAATATGGCAGTGTTTGGCAATAATATGCTAGTCATTGTAAGCACTTCATTGTGGAGGATATCGAAATTTTCTTTTGCAGTCTGGCTGGTGAGTTTAATGATTGCAGCTTCCATGATTTAGTCGCCCAAATCTTTACGGCGCCTCCCTAGTACTCGACTTCAGGAAGTAGGCAGGCCAGATCGTAGACTTGTTTAGGGTTTCCCCGTACATACAGGCCTATACACCTATATACATACAGGCCGTTTGTAGGAACCAATATATAAACGATTATTCGTCTGAGCATACCCAGTGGCGTAGCTTCAGTTGGTGTCACCTGGGGCAAAAGTAATGGAATCATCTCCCCGTTAATTAAATATGAAAATATCTATTACTGAATAGTTTATGCATTATTTAATATAAATATACTTGCACCCGACATTTATTTATAATTGATTAAAAACTATAATTCAGGATAATAGAAATAACATTTTTAAATAAATTTTATAATTATACACAAAATAAAATATTCTAATTGGTTTCCCCCCTAAAATGGTGGTATCCGGGGGCGGATATCCCCCTTTGCGCCACTGACCATGTTTTTCGGGTCATCGAGGTATTATGATAGTGACACCACAACTTTGGCTTCCGTTAAGAAGGGTTTCGCAATTGCGACCCTTCCATGAATGTGAATTTCGGTAAAATGTTCACGTTGATTTGTAAATTTCGTAAAGTTAAGTTCTGTAATGTTGAGTTAGTGTATTCTGCCACCAAGTTCTCAAACTTCGTCTCTGGATCTGCCCTTGATTTTGCAATCACTTTTGCCGCGTTGTTGTCTGGCCATCGTCTTTTTTAACGTTCGTCGATCACAAAGATAACTTCGGCTCTCATCATGTTTCACCATATTTTGTGTCTACTTCCATTACCTTGGACACAGTCGCTCATGAAATCGTTCGACTGTTTTCGTCACATGCTTCCGCTGACCGTGCCCCAACCATTTGCCCTTGGGAAGTGTGACCCTAGAAAAATACAAATACTATATTCCTCCATGGTCTGACACTAAGAGATCACACATTTCACCGATCGCTTGTATTCACTGTCGTAGACCAAAGCCCACTGCACTGCAATATAACCTTCAAAACGTGTCACGTCAACTGCGCAATTCAGCCGCGTTGCAGAGTTAACTAGATAAAACGCCGACATTTTTCAAATTTTATATTCATAGATAATAATGCTTAAACTTAGATATGGTTTATTAGTACAGGTTAAAGGTAACCCGTCAAAAATAACGGAACGTAATTAAAGTCCCATATTAATAATTTGTAATAATGAATCACAATTTAATTTCTGTATACTAAACTGAAGTTCTTTTCCAATTCAAAATTTCCTTTATTATCAGTAATAAGTTCTCAGACTCAGACCCGCTGCCCTCCAGGGTATCCCGAAGCGATTTTTGGGAGATCCAGAAGAGGCCATCAGGTGAAATTTCGGGCTGTTAGCATTTGTTGCCATGACCATGAAAGAATTGAATTTAAATTCCTCCGATATTTCTTTCAGGTCTCGAAATCCAGCAGTGTGTGTATGGAAGATTAGGCCCACTGAGTTCTCAGAAGTCGTGCAAGTTCCATTTTCGTATTTTACACTGAATTTCCATAAATTGAAGAAGTTACAAATAATATGAAAAATTATATGATGTTGTAGTACTAGTTAAGTGGCAAGCGAATGAAAGTGTTAAGAAAACAACCCAGGAACGCTACAATAAAAATCAAGAGAGTAGTGTTCTAATGTTAAGTAAATGAAGAACGGTGAGTGCTGAAAAATAAAATTAGAACGATTTTTGAAGTTTCATTTATTTTGCAAATGAATAATATTTCATCTATTTTGCATATGAATAATATTTCATCTATTTTTAACATTCAGTTGATAGCTTAATTTGGCTCTCCTTCACATTAGATTTAGCGCCATTTTCCTTCGCTCTCTCCCACAGAGCAATAGTAGAATAATACGATTACAACGTTGAAACGTTTTTGTGAAGTCCAAGTCGGTAAAAGAAGCAGAAGCACACTAACAGTTGGGCGTGGACTCTTAGCTGAAGAAAGCGACGGGCTTGCGGCTGTAGACGCGCAGCAGGAAGCGACGTGCGACGTCGGGCTCCCCGGTGCAGGGCACCACGATGTGCGTGCCTGGGCGCAGGCGCGCGCGCGCCACCACGCTGCTCTGCGTCAGCGGCGGCTGCGAAAGGGCCTCGGCCGGCGCCAGCCCGTCCAGCATCGCCGGCGTCAGCCTGCGCGCCTCCGCGTCGCCACCTGCGCGCCAAAACGATTGGCATTCATGATGATTCCGGGCGCGTCAACTGCGAAGTCCGTGAGGGTAGTCATTTTTATTGCGGGAGGTGGCGGTCATCGACCTATCCAGGGATTTTCCCCAACCAGGTATCTCCACCAGAGTGGCACCGCCCGCCCCACAAGCTCTAAGCTGCCGACAGGTTCGCCGACTTGTGTGGAAGTGTATCCACCCTATATATATATATATATATATATATATATATATATATATATATATATATAAACGGATACATGTATCAGACTCCTATATATATATATATATATATAGGGAGTCTGATACATGTATCCGTTTACGAAAAAATGGTAAATATAAAATGTGTTTAACTCTATGTATACAGTAAAAGAAGATTGCATTGTTCCAGAATTTGTAAACCTCTCTGATTTTATTAGTCTGGGAAATATGTACTGAGCTACTAGAAACAACATTTTGATATTTTCGATTTCCTTTATATTTCATAAGTTATACTTTTCTGTTATAACTTTTCTACAGCTCTTCCTTTTGAGTGATGTAATTGCAGAGGTTCAGCTATTAGTTGTTACAATGCAATTCAATGTCAGTTTGATGTGACATCATAATTCAAATAAAACAATGAGTGACGTAACACAAATGTTTCCGGCAATTCTGCTAATACTCAGATGTAAGGCTTTGGCCCAAACTGGCCTGAATCGACAACAAAAATAAAGAAATATTTAATTAATGTTTTAACGTAGTTCCATAGATGAGACGCATTGGCGGCTTCAAACCACTTGTTACGATATATTTTCCGTTTTGTATCATTTTCGCCCCGAAGTATACTTATCTGGAAATAATGGAAGATTTTTGTTCAAGAATCTTACCTTGAAAATTAATATGCCAATGGAATTCAAATCCTGATATTTGCTTCTGTCTTGTTCTTGAATAAGCTGAATAACGATGTCACCTATTTCTTCCTCTTCACTTTCACTTTCTTCATCATCTTCTTCGGACTTTCTCTCAGGTTCATCTGCAATGACAAGGAACAATATTTCGTACTTTTGGAAATTGCTTACATAGATACTTAGTCGTAAATATGTTACAAAGTAATTGATCCATCCACAGTGAATAATATCTACATCTTATGTATAATAACTACCAGATTTGGTCAAAGTGCTTAACGTAACTTAATTCACCTCACGTTGACTGAATTACTACACACGTCGTAGAAATCACGTTCATCAAGTGTCAGTATCAACAGCTCACTATCAGAAATCCATACATGTACGTTACTTGCGTTCGTAGGCTTCCGCGGCCGGAGTAAATACATTCTTGGCTATCCGGGATGAGCCGCGTCTCGGTCAATTGTACTGACGTTTCGGCCACCTTGCTGTGGCCTCCTCCAGAGTTATACTACTGCCAAGAGGTTGGCGTATCTCATCTTATAGGAAGGGCGCGTGGGCCGACTGGGCGCATCGGCGGCCAATAGGAGGAGGAGGAGGAGGAGGACGGGTGTCCCGTGATTGACGGAGAAGGAAAAGGGCGATGGCGGGTGACCAGATGAGGTAGGGGGAGAGGAGTGATAAAAGAAAACTGAACAGGATAGACACCTGGAAGATGCATCTATGTGGTGTGGAGATGCATCTGTGTCCACCACAAAATTCAGCCAACTGAGGATTGCTCGCGCTAAGAGGCTCTGTCAACTCGCCTTCTTTTTACGTTGCCGTGACTGTAACGACCTTCCCAAATTTCTTAGTATTTCCCATCCAATCAAGGCCAGAGCAGCCCAACGCATCCTCCGGCGTACCAGTGAACAGTTACTACGGGAGCGCATCCATCATAGACGATCGGATATCGCGACTATTGAGCGGGAACTACAGATTGCACCTGAATATCAGCCACCCCCTACAGCCTGAAGATAGGGACAGACGTGACAGCATATCGTCCAACATCGCTGTTGGTTTGCGAGAAGCCGTCAGGTGAGAAAATTCACCGACTTACAGCAAAAATGTGCTCGGCCGGAAGCCCAAGTCGTCCTCCGCAACACAAGTCAACCTGACAGCAAAACGTTTGACACTGCCACAACAACCGTTCTCTCACGAGGACTCAATTTCGCCGTCACCCTCAAGCAGATTCCTACTGATGACGTCATCGCCGCTGTGGAAACAGCTCTGTGTGTGCTATCGGAATATCTTGCTGAAGACATACGACGGGATACGAGCGCAATTCTGATTCGCGCCACTCCCCCAACTTGTAATATCTCCCGTGATGAGAGATTGGCATTGAAACACCTCAAGCAGCGGAATGACAGCGTCATTCTGCCCGCAGATAAAGACTACGCCACTGTAATCATTGAAAGCGGCGAATACCATGCCAAGATGACCAACTTATTCAGTGGCCAGACAACCGACCAGAAACTGGACCACAACCCATTACGTAAGATGAGGCAACAACTAATGTCTAACATAAATGAGGCCTCTTCCATTAGCGACCAGAAAAGGAAAATCATCAAGTACGCCAACAACCGCGCCTCTATGGCCTCCCCAAAATCCACATACCCGAATGTCCTCTCCGTCCGATAGTAAGTGCCATCAACTCACCTATCCAACATTTAGCACGTTTCTTGGCCAACAAACTGAAAGCTCTCATCAACCATTTGCCGTCCTCCGTCCTCAACTCCACACAATTCGTCGAACTCATCCGCTCCACTAGAATACGCTCTGATGATATCCTGGTCAGTTTCGAAGTTACCTCTCTTCACTAGGGTGCCAGTAAGCGACGCTATCCATATCGTAGCAGACAGCCTCACGCTACATCAACTTCTAAGGGCCAAGCTAACTGAGATCTGCCTTACGACCACCTTTTTCCAATACGAACAAGAGTTTTAAGCTCAGAAGGCACCGCTGTGCCCGGTCGTCGCGAACCTGATCATGGGTGCTTTTGAAGAGCAGGCTTTAGAAAACGCGCCCCTAAAACCATCGCTATGGCTGCGTTAGGTCGACGATACATTCATTTGGCCCCATAGCTCCGAATCTTCAAATCTTCTTCGCACACCTCAACAGCATCCATCCTCGCATCAACTTCATCATGGAAACAGAAGAAAATAGGCAGCTCCCTTTCTTGGACGTGCTAGTGACCAGGCGCCCTGACGGCACACTCGGTCATTCTGTCTACCGCAAACTCACCCACACCAATCGCTACATAAATGCTGACTCACACTACCATTCTGGATGTAAATGTAGCTTCACTATGCGCACGTTGGGTTGAATTCTCCTTTTGCTTGTAATGATAAGAATGTAGGAAAGGGTGAGTTTTTTGTTAGCAATGCAGAAAAATCATACCTGCAATTCGTTTACTGATGCAAATAAGTTATATAACTCGGGAACGGAAGTGACTAGGTCTCTTCGGTTTTTCAAATATTGCTGATCTCGCGCCTTTTAAAATTTTTATTCATTTATTTTAAACTTTTACTAATCTTTCAACAATTTATAGTTAAAATGATGGGAAGGGAATCTGTAACTCTCCTCCATACGTCACATACAATTTTTACTGTTTTTTAATAAATAAATCTAAACCTTTTTATCTTACACGTAATAACTGCTCGAAGCTAGTCAAAACGACTACTTCTCTTATACAATTTATCACTTTGTCATAATCGCTAGTCACTATCTGTGAGGACCGTAGGACCGTACCAGTTGTGATTGATTTTTCGCTTTGTCTAGCCATGGTGTATAATAGGTAATAATTATTATTTTGTATGTTTGAAAGTTGGGGAAACAACGCCGCCTAACTTATTTCTATCAGACGTTAAATACGTTGGACATAAATATATTTTGAAATGAAGTATTAGGTAGATTTAAGAATTTGTTTGGCATGTTTACGTAAAATGCGTAAGTCGGAGCCTCTTCGACTTGGACACGTGTAGCGAAGGGTTAATTGCACCGTATTAGATTAACGTAATACTCCATTCTGCCTGCGAGTAATTTGCCGTCAGCACTGCCATCAGAGCCGATGGCTTCAGCCAAGACCAATAACATTTGCAGTTGGTCTTGCTCCTGCTAACGTATAATTCGCCAGTGTGGTATTCGCCCACTGTCCAACCAAAAATATAGAAAATTATTACGTTGTCCAGCTCAGAATAGCTAGTATGCATAATTGTAAACTAAGTAATTAGTTATTAGCTGGTAAATTAATGTATACGTAACTATCGATTAAACAAATCACTATTTAATCACAATGATATAAGAGGTACTCTTCGAAAGTCCTTTTAGCTTTAATATTTCATCATTATCATCAAAATCTGTTTAATTTTTATTATTAAATATTAATATTCCAACTTAAATATTTTGAAAAATCTCAAAGAAGAAGCTATATTTCATCCTGATTCCAATGATGATTGCTGCTATTCCATCACTTTTCTACTAAGACAATACATTCAGATGAAAGTGTTAAAATGAATTATTATTTCATTTTCATGATTGAGATGAAAACATGAATCATATATTTTGAAATAAGATATTGCATTATTAACTGCCCCATTTGCGTTTCTTTCAATCATTCATCAGTATACCGCCCTTGAAATGCATATTCTCTGATGTCAAATTCATGTTTGGTACTCACCTCTTTGTGGCACGATCAACGTGAATTGTGGATTTGTGAGAAACTTGGGATCACTGCAATCACTGCCGCCGGCATTCAATCCAACGTCCCAACAATGTGATACTACGAAGGACTAGAACAGGAGAAACGGGCGTTGGTTACGTAGATCTAGACAGTTGTTAACATTTTTTTAGACTAGATTCTTCTTTATAGCCTTATTTTCATTCTAAGATGAAAAACAATCTCAAAATTTTGCTCATAATTAAATTTTGAACAGTGAACACATACATTGTAATAGCTAATAAGTGTAAATTAATTAAAATATAAAATGGAACTCAAGAAAGCCATGCGCCAAATTTTTGTACTACATATGTGGACATTTTGCGTTGGAAATTATGTATACATTTATATATCCACATGGCCTTACTGTTCGAGGGTGTTCGTTGTTAATGCATGCAAAACGCATCAGGTTAAGCTTCAATCCACTTCACTTTTAAAATCTATGAGGTTGATACTGTGATAGAGGACGAACAAAAATGGCTTGCTTCAAATACAACGCACCTGTCGCGCAAGTGTTTCGTAATCATCTCCAAAGTCTGGCAATCGCGCTGCCAACCATACTTCGGGAAAATGTTTCCTGAAGTGAGACATCTTTATCCAGAACTGGCCGTCATCTTGTTTCTTGTATCCCAACTCGTCCAACTTTTGTCCGTCTATTTCATTCCAGTTTGGATCGCTGCGAAAATAGATCTATTTTGTTGGCATGCGAAAACATTAACAAATATTTAAAAGAAAGGAAATCAGAAATGAAGAAATGGGAGGGTAATATTAGATTACTGTTATCGACCGGTATACCACTGTAAAATATCTTTGGCAAAGATGTTTTATAAAAGAAAATACGACGGTGTAGTAGCTCATGTTTCGAATTTCCTTTCTGGGTTGGATTTCTTTCCAGAACGGCAACTTCACACGAAGGACTTATCAAATATACATTTTGAATTAACAAACGTAATAACGAATCTCCAAACATTATAAATAATGCCGTTAATAGTTGACTTTAATACCGCTTTCAATTCCGTTAATAATTGACCGAACGTATGTACTTTCATTAACACACGAAATTCACAAAATAAAGTTACAGCTAGAGCCGGACGAAGACAGAAAATTGATATTCCCCTCGGGCGCCGCGCCGCACTCGATGACTAGATCCTCAACCCATGGAAGAAAACTTTGAATATCAATATTTGTTCACATTGACATTTCAGAAAATTCTCCCAAAAATAACGAAAACGACCTACATTTATAAAAAAAATGAACATGAAATAGTAATTTAATGATGAATTGCGCTGGCAAAAAAGCATCTAGCTTTAATATTGAAGGCGTAAGACAGGTTCGAAAAACATTAAAATATTTCATCAATAAACCCGAAATTACCTGAAAATTACATTAAAAAATGTACATGACCTTCACTAAAGTTCTAATGTTGAGGAACAGATTTCATTAAGCGTAAAAAATGATTCGTTGTAGTTTTCCAATCTTAATTTTTTGCATTTTTTGAAAATATAGTTTATTGAGAAAGGAAACTGCGCCATAAGCGCATTTTGCTCTATTTGAGAAAAAATTAAAATATTGCAGCTGTATTTGAGAATTTTTTAAAAACTGGTTTTACTTCAAGCAGACAAAAGAACTAGAATTTTCCAAAAAAAAAAAAAAATAATTAAAACTTTTTTAAAACATTTGTATTGCTTTTAAAATTTGTTTAGGAACTAAATCTAATTTCGTATTATGTAAATGTTAGTTTTATAATTAGCGTATTGTAATATTACATATTATATGCGATTTTGCATATTTATTACATATTCTTACCGTTTTCATTACATATTTATGTACATATTTTGAGGTTTCATTCTACATATTTTTCCGGTCTCTACTCTCGACCAAGATTTGGATTCTCGTGACATGCTATCTTTTCATTGATGTCGTTTAGACGTAGCTAACATACAACTGAATTTTTATCACGACATAAAGGTGATAGAAATATATAGTTATTAGGTCATGTTTTGCCATTTTTCAATTTTTAGGTCATATTTTTGAATCTTCGTGTTACTTTTGTCACTTTTAGGCATTTTGTTTCCTTTTCATGTTTGTTGTTTCATGAATTTATAATGACGCACTAAAACAAAGTTTTTATTGTATTATCAGTTTATGACGAAATTTACTGCTGCACTGTACTCTGTTTTTCAAACTCAAAATTACACGGATCTTCGGTAACTTTCTCGACCTTTCAAAACTGACGGTTGGAAGATCGGAGTTCGAGGAATTGGGGAAAACGGAGCTTCCTCCTAAAATGAAGGTTTCATGTTAAAAATACTTTATATAAATACATTTTATTCAAAATTATAAAAGTCATTGAATAAATAAATATTTTCATTATAAAATTGAGTATTTTTTAAGAAGTTAGGTAAATTTTACATGTCATTTTCCTCTTACTTTTAAATCGTTTTATGGGTAATTTTCAAAGAATTTTGAAGTCATCAGAATCCGAGTCCTGCTCGTGACAATGTTCTTCATACGTCTTAAAATAAAATATTATTGGAAATGACAGGAGAGAGCCGGGAATGCGGAACGTGAGTGGCGCTCACCTGTCGTTCCACGCGCCCTCCCACTCGCCAGTGGCGTGCGGGTTGCGCACGCGCACCAGGCGCACGAGGCCGTCGCCCAGGCGCAGCGACCCCACGCCGGTCACCGTGTACGCGTGCAGCCCCGGCAACCCCTTGCGGTCCTCTTCCCTCTGCAACACACCGCCCTGCGTCCTGCACCCTCACCGGCAGACACGTCTCAGTGCACGCTCATGAGCGTGTGCATTGCGGGCCCGACACTGAGAGGACAGCGTAGAACTCACTCGTGGATGCGCGATATATTTGGCATCATCCATGAGAGTGGACATTTCATGAACGAGTGTGGATGCGCGACCTGTACGCAATAGACCGACTGGAGATACTGTCTGTAGGCTCCATACCGATCATGGACTGCATTAGTGGCACAGCTTAAAAATAGTCGTTGAGATAATGAGTTTGATGTTTTACCTTGTATTGAAATGCATAATTCTTATATTCACACTTCTGCTACGAGGGTTGCCTTTTATATTTCAGGATTAGAGAACAAAAACAAATATTTATCATCAAAAATCACTTTATTGTTTTTCAAAATATTCCCCATGAAGATCTATACACTTTTGCATGCGTTTGAACCAATTGTCGAAGCACTTTTGCTAACCTAATTGAGATATCTCCAAAACATGCATACTAAATGCAGCAACCGCTTCTTCAGGTGTCGAAAAACGTTGACCTCTCAGTTTGTTTTTACGTACGGGAAAAAAGAAGTCATTCGGTGCCAAGGAAAGACTATACGGCGGATGACTCATCAAATCGATGTTTTGGGTATTCAAAAATGCAGTTCTTTGAGCCGATGTGTGAGAGCTCGCATTGTGGTGAAGAGTTATCCGTCTACGGCGGTTGGTTTTCCTGATTTCTTGGGAGACAGCTGGCAAACAAATCGTTGTGTACCACTCCGAATTGACTGTTCTGCGTTGTTCTACTGGAACGGTTGCGACATGTCCAGTTTTTCCGAAAAAACAGGCGACCATCTGTTTAGAAGTGCTTCGTGCGCGAACAACTTTTGTTGCATTTTGCTCATCTTGAAACACCCATACAGTCGACTGCTGTTTACTTTCGGGCTCATACGCCTAAATCCACGATTCATGCACTCTGTCACGATGTCATAGACGTGGTTTCGAATGCACCGCGATGGTATTTTTTGAGCATTTCTCTTTCGACCATTTGGACACGAGCCTTTTTTTTGTTGGTTTGTCGAGATTGACAAAGTTGGGTGTTGGGATCCAACGCGAACATTGTTTTTTTTTTACAGTCAAATGTTTCAAAATATTGAATTATGCTGGTCCCACTAATGCCTAAGGTTGTCTCAATTTCAAACGATGGTCACATATGACTGATCTTGCAATATATGGACGAGCTTAAATTCGTCTGGAGTGAATACTTACGACCCACAATTGAATTCACGCATACCACAATTGAAACACTGGGGTCCTTGATGGAGGCTTTCATCTGCCAAAAGTACTGTAAACAACACAAATAGCGCTCGTATGTCAAAACGTTCTGAGTACGCATAACCTCAAAACATTCAACTTTACGATAGAGCTGTCAGTTTCCAGATTGCAACACCAGGGTTGCCAAATCCCGAAACATAAAAGGCAACCTTCGTACTGTTGGTGGAATACTGTACTATAAGACGCTGTTGTTTCTGAAAGAGACCAATTCTGGATAGTGCATTTATTTGAATTTTTTAGTTGCGTCCCTATTGCAGCCCATGAGCCGCATGGAGTGAGGCAGCCTGTTATGGAGGCCGGGCGTCCACGTTCGTTGCCGAGATTTCCACTCCCGGACAGCGTTGTTAGGTGCATGTGCATTTAGTGAAGGAGTGAACATGATAATGGGTTGTGATTGTGTGAGCGCATAATGATAATGCGTGAATGCCTTGGTACTAAATGCGGAGCCGAAAGGAAGAACGGCTTAACCGAGTTAAGCAGTTTTCCTTTTCTTGCCTTGTGATCTTCATTAGACGTCAATGACTATAAATAAAGAACTAGATTTCAAATAGATAACACAAGCATCAATGTGAACGCAGGGAGCAAGATATTGCGCAAAAGCCGTACATCCATTGAACTGCAGGATCGTTTGGTGCTCCCATGTCAATTTGTCGTGTTGGTTGTTCTTCATTACTTCAGGCAATCTTTATTATAAATTGTTACTACAACGTTAATTTAAGATTTTTGTTTGATTTTTTTGTGTTGCTTATATTATGATGACGGTAGTGTACTGGACTAAATGATGTGTAACTCGGAAGAAATGTATTCTGAAATCTCGTTTTAAATCTAATGTAATTTAATGACTTTTCTTGCATAAAATATTCATAAAAATAATGTATATATTTTATTTTTTAATTCCTAAGTCTATCCTAAACATGTACATCATGTAAAAATTGTAAACCTCTCCAGAACAACACCTTAAATGAAGATATGGGCAAAACCTAATGTGCATGAAAGAACGGTTTAAGATAAATTATTTTTTATATTATATTTTTTAAATGTTACATTTTTCTGTAAATTTACTTGTTGTAGCCCGTTTCCAATGATATTTAAAAAGTGTACTGCATGTTACATTTCTTACCGATAAAGAGAACGTAAAAACTTTTTACTTACTTTCAAAAACATTGTTTTCGGAGTTGTGAATTAAAAAATTGCAAAATTGTACGTGTTGTTGAAATCGCGAGGTATTTGAATAAAGACCTAGATTTGGGAATACGTTTTGAACAAAATGAAGGTTAGAAGACGCTTTGGGATTAGTGAAATTTATCAAGCTAAGTTTTTCTGATTTTGATGCATTATATCAATGATGGTTAAATGACTGAAGATAAAAATGAATGCATAACTCAAGGTTTCGAAAGCGGATAAATTGTTCTCAGGGAACGTCCACACTGTCGAAATATTGTACAATGTGAATGTCTACTTTTCTCTCTCATTCCACATGGAAAACCATAACCTTGCAAGTTTTGATTTAGCAACTGAATAGAAGATCGCGATTCGCTTAAAATCATGTCTGTTTACAAATCGCTGGACTTGTCTCAGAGACCAAAAATGCGCAATAGGTCTACTAAGTGTGCACTAGTCTTTAAGGTTAACAACAACAACTACAACATTTATCAAATCCGGGCAAGCACTCTTGCATTAGGAAACCTCTTCCTCCTCCCTTTCTCTTCACATCCACAAGAGAAAATATTTTTACAAAAAATTCGAGATTCTGCATGACCCTAAATTCGAGACATGTATCCTCACTCTCATCGCGGAGAGAATGTTCCCGGGCAAATCCCAAAAAGGGAAAAGGAGCCAAAATATCTCAATTTGAAGATAACGGCGTGCAGAAAATAGCTAGTGACAATCACTAGAGTCGTTGCCTTTTAGCCAGCTCATCTGGTGGTTTCTCCGAATACTGAATGTTGGAGAAGCGCACCAACAAAAAGGCCACAGACCGCGATCATTCCTTATTCATTCTTGCCCCTTATCTCCTCTTACATACACACACACACACACACACGCACACACACACACACGCACACACACGCACACACACACACACACTCACTCACTCTAGCACTACACTACCACGTATATTGGAAGTTTAGATTTCGTCCCGACTGTGGTGGTACCCTCTAGGGAAGTATCTGGTAAACGAAACCCGCAAACCAAATTATAAGTCCCCGCCAGATTTCCGGTTCAAGTGGGGAGGAACTTTTCAGTGGGGAGGTCACCACTTTTCTAGATGGAACGTAGATTACATTTATGGAACTAATCACCTTCACAGTTGATGCGCCCGTAATTAATATTCACTCATTTATTCACTCCGCCACCCCTTGTTCAGACAGGGATTTAAGCAATAAGTATAGCATAACCAGTACAAGGAAATATAACGCCTCAGGAAAATCTCTCCGCAATGACACCTTGCTGGTGAGAGTGCGAACAGGATTTGCACTTGTAGCAAAAGAAAACGTAAATAGTGTACTCACTACCGCGGTTTAAGAAATATATATTACACCGTGCCCCTATAATCATAACAGATGCCGGGTATTGCCCTTTCTCTTGTTTCCCTGTTTCTGGTTGCTATCAACATCAACGCAAATTTTTGAAAGGAGGTTCTGACTCGGCTGGGTGCGGAGAGACATCGCTGGTGCACTGTAGTTAACCCCGCCTGTAGTCGGCCTCACCATTGTGGCGCACGCGATGACGGATTGGTTCTTGAGCTCGCAGCGGAAGAGGCGGTGCAAGTCGCGGGCCGGCGTCTCCGCCAGGTAGAAGTCCTCCACCACGAAGCCCGTCAGCGAGAGGAACGCCTCGCTGGAGAAGCCGCCCACGATGTTCTCGTAGTTGCCGTGGAACCTGCAAACACCGCGGAACGTGCTCTGCTCGTAAACTAGTGGTGCTACATCGTAGCACGTACTCTCATAGAAGCTGTGAGGAACATTTTAGCCGTTAGATAAAAAATGCGAATAGAAGTTTAATAAAAAGTTTATACAACCTACTTCTAATATCTAAATTATCTTTTTTAAACTTACTTTATCAAGCTTGACACTCAGCATTGAAAGTCAATTTACGCATATCTCTAAGACCCATAACATAAAGCAAATGTATTTTTGGTCAATAATTCATCTATCGAAGAACGAATTACGTTTATCAAAATTTGTTTTCAGCCCAACAATACTTTAAGGATTCTTGCCATCTGTTGAAGGCCATCAATAGCAGTTAGTGCCGCGTTCTGACACATTTTGAAACTTTTTTTCTGCATCAGAAACTTCCCAAACACGTGTTTCCGACAAATGTCGATAATGGAGGCAGAGAACTCAGACAAGTTGAAGAATCACACGACAATGTAATATAGGAACGAGAAAGCACGTCGTCACCCATCAAGATGATTCACGTACGATGCTGGTCATCACCTGTACCTCAATAAGTGAGTAAAGGGAGTAAAGGCATTGGAAACCTACTCAAGTCATGCAAAATTATGCAGTTACTTGACATTAAACATCAGACAACAAATATTAAATAGTGGAGAGACGACCCCACTCCGTGGATGTCTAAAGAGAAAGGACACGTCACGTCAACAAAGATCAATTAGTTAAATGGCTTTAAAGGGAAAGAATTAAACCAGAATCGGAAGCCGTTTTAAAGTTGCCCAAATTCAGACTTCCGTCAGGAAGTCCTCTTTACCAGTAACAGGTATAAACCATTGATCTTATCGTCTTAGTTTGTTTATTTCTAGCAAAGATTGAATACATAAAACACACGAACGGGTCTGTAGTAGTTATCTGCATTGGTAGGTCTGTAACTCCTTTAAGTTCCAAACACTTGCTCCAGGGAATTGGAACTCATACCAAAACCTGTGAATTCTTTTGCTCTGAGCACAATGCTGTATGGCCAGCAAAACCTTACTGTTAGTACTACGTATAGCAGCAAACAAATAGGATATTATTATTCAGGATTTGGTGAACATTTATTGTGTCTTCTTACGTGTGTGTTTCGCCATGTGATCAGAACTACGTCACCTAGGACACAGATAAATGTTTTTAATTCAAGAGTTTGAAAATCGAGATCAGTCTGATGTGGGATATAAAACACAGGCCATTCCGATAGTCATTAGAACTGTGGGATTTGTTCTGCGAAATTTATATAAGAATTTGTTCAAACTTCCAGGGAGCTCAAACGAGACTGAGAAGGTCAAGACAGCACATATTTTGCGCAAAGAATTGTGGAGGCACTCAGTACCCTTGAGGTCTGCTTCTTAGGAAGCTGGTGGTTACTAGCATAATTTCATCGCAAATATTGAAAATTTATGCCAAATGTATTGACAATTGTTAGAAACCTTTGTCTTGTTGGTAAAAGCTTTTCACCAACAAGATAGTCCCATCAATTTTCGCCGAAATATTGCGTCCAGTACACTGCGTGACAATACGTAGGCCAAAATGAGGACGCACACTTCTTCTCTTAGACGGTGCCGAGCCTTTTACCCGAGGAGAATGAACTAGAGGCGCGGAGGGGGAAGGGCGGAGGCGACAGCTGCAACTTGTCGGACGTTGCCTTGTTGACTTCAGTTAAGGCGCGTAGTACGTGATCTCCGATGAAATGTCTTCTCGATCCATGTGTTGGCGCGAAATTGTTAAGAGCTAGTTGAAAGATGAATAAATGTTTAACATAAATAATTAAAAATACATTTTAAAAATCGCAAGATTAGCAATATTATAAAAAATAGACATTTTCGTTTCCGAGTTATAGACATTTTTTTTACATCGGTAAACGAATTGCAAGTATAATTTTTCTGCATTGCTAACAAAATACTTACTTCTACTCGCCCTTACTTCTACTTTTACCATTACAAGCAAAAGGAGAGTTCAACAAAACGTGCGCATATTCTAATATGCTACATTTACGTCCAAAAGCAAAACAAGGGGCCATCTCAGCATTTGCTCAATGGGTCAGGGAAACTGCGATCATTGGGAGTGATATTCATTCACGTAATGATTTTGAAAATTGACCGACTAGCTTGGGAATTGGGCTTGGGAATGCGCATACATTAGCGTATTGTGCTTGAAAGTAGGCATGCTATTCCAAGACTCACTTGGCGAACGCCTTCTCCAAAAGGGGCAACCAGAACTCGTTGGACGTTGTGCATTTGCCGTAAACCAAATCGTTGTCTTCGTCAATGGGCAGTTTATCGTCAATGTAGACCGACACCCATTGGCCCATTCTCCAGAAGCGGGCAACTATTATGCCATGATAGTCGCTCCCGCAAAGAGGTTGATCCTCCGGCATTACCTGAAAATAAATTAAATTTTGAAACGAGGTTCAAGAAACTCGGCTCAACTAAAAGGAAGTTAGCATGCATTTTACTCGTATTATTAACATTCTCAAGACTTTCATTATTTTAAATAAACATTTGCTTGATTTTTTTATTTCATTAATTGATTTACTGACGTGTCCCCTCCCAAATTCAACCAAATTTACTTGATTATAAATTTATTACAACAAATTATTCATAATCTTCATTTAAGAAATGTTTACTAAGTGAAAAAGCTATAGTTGCCATTTTGAAAAGGATTAAACAAATTGCAACTATTTTAGAGATATTAGAAGTTCAGTTTCTCAGACTACGTAAGTAAAAATTAATTTAAGTTCTAACACGACACTATCCATTCAAAAACATTCCTTTTTTGAAAATACAGAAAGTGAAAAATGACAATGAAAAAAAAAAAGAAAAAAAGGAATATGATATAACGATAAAAGATTTAATACAATGTAATGATATGATATAATCAGTTAATAACAAAAGTGTTAGGAAAAGTGAATTAAATAATTTATTTGGCATTTGTTTCAAGAGCTTTGCTCTTGTCACGTGTTGAGTAATGTTTCATTTAAGATGTACGCTCCATTTCAAATCTATCTGCTTTTCTCAGATTCAATACTCTAATTCAACGCGCTAATATATCTCTAATTCACTTGCACTGACCAATTAACAAATTATTTCCAAAATTAATATTTTCAAACCGAAAAATTCTCTGTCACTCGAAGTGTATCCATAGGTACTACATATGAAGGATGCGTAATGTTAGAGTAGATGCAAACGGATTTTTTCAAAGGGTATTATGCTGCAACTTACTTGGCGAATGAGGTCTGGATATTGAGCCAAAGCTGTGGCGGCCGCTAGAAACCAGCAATCGCCGAGTCTTCCTTGCTGCACGTCGTGGTGGCTGATACCGTCCACGAATAGCTGCGGCTTTTCGGCGATTTTCTGTACATAGAGGGTCAAAATTAGAGCTAGTAACCTTGGATCTAAGGAAGAGGAATTGTATATGTAATTTTGATTTGCTGTTTGTAGTGTTGACTGTCATTAGTGTTAAGGTCATTAGTTTTAACTTTTTCAGTTCTCTAGAAGTAATTAAAAAGGATACTTGTTTATTTATCTTTAGGGGCTTGGAGAAGGAACGATGACTAAACGAAATGCTGCAAGGCTACTTTCAGAGGATGCTTTAAATTGTCCTTCATTTACCCACAGTTGGAGAGAAATATGGCACACATGAAGAAAAATATGTTTGGCCCTGGTATCCAATTGCTGACCGCTTGCTGGCAATTTAACTCGCCCTTTGAGCATTTGGCGAGGTCATGGCTTACGTCTGAATGGTGCCACATAGTTCATTGTGAATGGTGTGCATATTAAAGCGCCATAACAATTTGCATTGTATCTGGCCCGGATGGCTATTTGTCTTCATGAACATGAGATGCAGTCTTCATGAACATGAGAGGCAAACCAGTTCTGTTTTTCTTTTACATATTTGGTGTACAGAGATTAAGGCGCGGCTGTGGAAACACTTTTGTAGGCAATTACTAAATTAAAACTAGTGGGGCTACGGAATGGCAGAGTCCTCGTATTAGTTTGTTTCGTATTGTCTTGAGTCTGGATTTATTTTACAGTTTTGCCAATCTATGGGCTTCTAAATGTCCTGCCGGTGCCTCTCTCGGTATCAATAGCCTCTTTGCCTCTCTGACGCGTCCTAGAGAAGTGTTTCAAAAAACACTAATTTTTAATTTTTTTTGTTTTTCTAATTGTCGCATGAAAATATGACTTTTAAAATATCATAGAAGAGTAAAACCTAGTTCTTCATACACATTTTAATCGAAAATCTTGGAGCCGTTTTGGGGAAAATGACATTTTAACATTTCTCATAATGCGCAATTTTGACCTCTTTTCCCATAGATTACTAACACTTTTTAATGTGGTAACTACTGTAACAAAATCTGGACTTGAAAGTTATTTAGTCAAAAATAGAACAAATTAAAGTCTTAAAAAAATAAATTGAATTCTTAATTTCGGACACTAGTGCTTTTATTCAAGGTGTAAGTAAAAATATCAGAAAAATAATTTCATTTCGTGGAAATAATGGGCAGACAGAGGATGAGGATTGTTGACACTGGCAACCACCAGCTCCAATTGGAAAGTGTTAACCAGCCCAGTACGGTGTTTTTATTAAGTAGAGTTAGTAGAGTTAACAAAGTAGAGTTAACCGTAGAGTTAACAAAGGAACTTATATTTTTAAAACATTGACACACAAAAATCAACAGCTTAGTTGAAGGTTTGAGCTGAAAAAGAGAGAGAAAAGCTTTTTTTCCTAACACTACATGTGAAAATCCTTGAACTAGGAAAATTTTACTCTTAAAGTATTAAAACCGATTTGAGATCACGGTTGCACCAGCGGTGCACAGAACTGAAAAATGCTTTACACTATTTCACTATTCAGAATGTCCCAGAATAAATGTTACACATTTCTAGGACATATAAATTGGCCAAAGATGATCACATTTTGCCAATAAACATGCGATGGGAAATTTTAAATAACGAAGATACCCTTCACATTTGCACCTGATAGGTATTTAACTCGTCATACATTGGTGATTGGTTTGCCCGCCAAAAACTTTTTGATTGCCTCCGAACGTGAGCCGCCCAACATCTTTGCATGAGTAAGGGCGGATTTCGATGACCAAAATTGTCTATTATTACTAGACATTGGATGTTTAGAAATGTGCCTATGATGTAATATGTGAAAGGTTTTTATCATGCGAGCACGAGTTATAAAAAGGAAACATTTTGAAAAGTATCATTTTGCGATGTTGGCGTGTATAGCTTTATTTCCTCTTCTTTTTGGTAAAAATTAATGTTTAAATCAATTTCAAAAATTTAAAGCGGTAGATTTTGGGTGTGCTGGGACTAAGTTTCCACACGAAAGCCGATCATTGTAGTGTTACTGGGCAAGTCAATAACCCTGATATCCGAAATTGATACCGTACTGCAACCGATTTTCTTAATGGAAGTTGTGGGAAGGAAAGCTCTGTAAATTTAAAGAATTAAATGTTAGGCCACTTTCATGTTCGTCGTCTCATTAAAAGAAATTAAACAAATGGAGCGTGCAGCCATGATGTACTCGTACCAATGGCCCCGCCAATGTATTGTTGATTGATTCTTCGTCCCAACCGATGTCCTCGAAAACAAAGCTGAGGCACAGGACGTGTCGCGCGAATGCTTTTTTCGACGTCGAAATGTTTCATTTTAATTACTGAAAATTCGGTGTACTGTATACTTACAATATACCGGAAAGTGGTGTCTTAAAAGTGATAAATTAATAAAACTGCTATTAAGAAGCGGGTCGGTGGTTGGGTAGAGGGCTGGTTTGTTAATAGGGGAATAATTTGAATACAATATGTATGTTTCAGTGTCCGGTAGAACAAACAATCTTTAATACGTGTAGTCGTTTTAAATATGTGGACTTTCAGAGAGGTTTCAGTATATACAGTAAACCCCGGTATTCTGAACCGATTATGAGGTATGGTGTGTTCTGAATCGGAAATGTTCAGATTATCCGAATAATGTACCATACATATACAAATATATGTATAGGATTATCAGACCCAATGCGACGTAGCATGAGATGTGAGAAAATGGCAATGTGATGTAGTAATCGCATCATCACATAATCACATTGCAACATCAAGCGGATTGAGTTCTTTACGGCTAAAGGAGATTTTGCAAGTTCCTCTACGTGATATTTACTGCTACATAAGCATGTGATATACACATGTAGTTACCACTTCAATAATCTTGTCATTTCGACAACTTGTGTTTCAGTGATTAGTTGTTCATTTCTACAGTAGTTTTAAAATCCTTTCTTTTCACTACAAATATCCATTTTATTTATTTTGTTTATTACTTCCTCTATCCCGGATTTTTGGGGTGCTACTGTCGCATAAGGAGCAAGGAGAGACGAGACAGAGTCGCTTACCCGGGGGCGGCGCCAGCCCCGCACGTCCTCGCGCAGCTCCACCGCCAGCGACGCCGGCGCATGCGGGAAGTCCGGGTCGCGGAACTTGCGCCCGTCGCCCTGCGCGTCCAACAGGCGCGCCACCTGCGCGCGCTCCTCGTCCTGCAACACACACAAACACACACACACACTTTGCATATTCCTCTGGCCCACACAAACAAACGTGTGTCTTGCGACTCAGCTCGGAAATGTTTTTATTCGCCTCTAGTCCATTGATCCGTTCGATTGTTCAGTTAAACATTTAAGTAATTCATAATGAAGTCCATTCTCTCCTTGGTCAGACATCGCGAATTGTCTATTTACATAGGACACGGTGACTACTACCAATTCAAACTGCAAATTTTCCGGAGTTTACTTTAAAATGTTATCAAACTGATTTTCATCTCTCTCATGAAGAATAACTTTGCAATGATTGTGTATGCAGACTTGCTTCTCCAATGCTCGCTGCGGCGTTGCTGCTCGGCGTTGAATAGAAAGTTTGCGTTCGAATTGAGCGTTCAGTTGAAAGACTGGAGTGCCTTTGTACTCCCAAACCAATGTTTGAAAGCAGAAAGTAATATTATCAGTTACAATTTTTATTGCTGATTGTCCTTTGAAAGCATTATGCAAATATGAAATATGGAAAGCATACGGTCACACCATCAACGAGATTCGAAATGTAGCATTCAAACATATTCAACAAATAGCATTGTTAAGAATGATTAGATAATACATCATGTTTGTTGGTAAGACAAGTGTGCATAAAGTATTCGTTCCTCAACACTATGAGCTCTTCGTGCATTATCTGTTGACTCAAGGGGTACGCTCTCCTACGCACGCCCCCGCAATGAGCCTTGGAGTGAATCACTGTGTCATTCAAAATAAAGAATGTGGTGACTTGAAAGTGTTAATGAATTCAGGTACGGATCGTTCCTATTTCATGTGCAGATTCTCGTATTAATCGAACTATTGTCTAGAGAAGCATTTATGTGTGTCAAACTAAGACAATCTCTAATATTAAATTGGCAGTTAAGTTTTTCAAAATACATACATGAATATCTCTCCGAGTTTTGAAATCAATAGAAGCAACTAACAGGAACGTAGATGATTACACATATCACCACTTTTAGAAGAAAGAAACTTACATTTTTTGTAACAATTTGTGTTAAGAAATGGATAACTTTTTTAAATAAAAGGCCTTTTTAAAAGACAAAACAGATGTATTGAAAAGTTTATTTTATATAAAGAAATTATACCAATATATAGACAACTTGTTCTTATGCGGTTGGTTGGATATATTAACTTTTAATGTAACATTTAATGCTGTTTCAAAATCACTCAAAATACTTTATTGAAGAAAAAACATGTCTTTGAAAGATTTGAACGTACAGAAAAGTCTATGGAAAATAGTTTGTTTCTGAAATTAAGTTTTTTTGCAATACAGTTATCTATTCTGCAAATTATGCAAAAATAATAACATTTAAATATTATGTAAGTAAGCAATATTTTCCAAATATCTTCAAAAAGCATTACTTTCATCTGTTTTTTCTAGTACGACCGAAGACAGGCTAAGTGATTTTCTCAAAGAGTGCAATTATTCAGGTTCGTCTCAATTTTCTCCGAGCCTTGTGCCTAATCACTACTAATTAGGTTCATCACTACTACCTTCTGTTCGTTATTTCCGCGATTAACTACATAATGAATCCTTCTTAACTAGGGTTGTCTATAGCATATTTTACTTCGGTTTGGCATGGATCTGAGGGAACTCCAAGAAATATTCATTAGTTCATACGGGTCACAAAAAATAGCAGTAACGAAAATCCGTCCCGCCGAGGGTTAAAAGTGTTCACATTGAAAGTTCATTCTCAGATTCAGGATCTACATTCTGATGATGATCTTCAATTCATTTCTTCTTTTCAAATTTGATAGCTCTTATGTACACATATCATTCGAAAGGACATTAATTAACAAATGTAATTTAATTTCCATCAGAAAACAGACATTTTGTTCGCAGGTGTAAAAGTTTTTTTGTTTTTCTACGTTCCCTCATAATTCTTTTTATATTTATTTTTATATCATCAAAGCCCTATTTTAACAATATTGAACACAATATTCCACCACGAATATGAAAATATAGAATTGGAGACAATATATAAAAAATATGAAAGATTCCTTGAAAATATGAGAATCGGATTCAAAGCAGCCAGGAATGAGTAACAGAAACTAAAACAATAAATAAATAAATAAAACATAATCAATTTAACGTTGTGATCATAATAAAACATCTTTATTCGATAGAATACATCTACTAAATCGTCTTCTTCTGGACAGCATATAATGAATTGGTGACGAATAAAAATATTTATTTTCTAAATGAAACTCAGTGTGGATGGACCTCGTAACACGTTCAAATGAAAGATGTTTTACTACTAATCGTCCTCGCGGAGTGAACAACGCTAAAATTATCTTTGATGAAACCCATCGGCTAATCACTGCACAATTGCTACTTGGAGTTTTGGTGAACGGGTACAACAGCGTATTCATTACCATTTTTATTAACACCATTTTAGAAACATTTACAAATGATATAAACGATGATAGTAAACCTTTTAAAAAAACTCAGGTTGATCTAATTTTACTTTCTAAACTCAAATCTATCTTATTGTCATATCGGTATCGGTCGCGTTTCTATCAAAATATTATTTGTCTGGAATTACATTTCCGTGTTACGTGGCTGTTGTGCATGCACGAGATATTATATCTAGTAACACGATTCTTGATTAGGTTTGCAAGAAAAGCTTCGAGATGGCGAAAGCTGCTTTCAAGATGCCGGCTAAAACGCGTGGAGTACGGGACGCCCCGCTGATAACATAAAGGCCGACCGACGGTCTGGCGAAGAAACAAGCGGCGGTCGGCCCGCGTTACGAGCGAATCGACCGAGCGCTGCGGCGGCTCTTACCGTGAGCGGCATGCCGGCGCCGGGGTGCTGGCTCAGGCGGGCGGGCGGGCGGGACTGGCTCTGCGCCACTGAGGCGCCCGACGCGGCGTCTGCCCGCCCTTGCCTCCTCTCCCCACACACTGGCCCAACGCCCACTCCGTCCCCACCCTTCGAATTCACGACCAGTAGCTGCTCTGCCAACTCCCACTTTGCTCTGCCGTTCGCTTCCCCGTCTTCGTGCTCCCCCCCCCCGTTCTATCCTATCGCCGTTATCTCGTCTACACTCTCTCTTACTCTCTATTTCCCATATCTCTCACTCTAATTGAGGATCAACTTCCACTCCACTTCTCACTCTCCACCTTCTCTCACATCTCTGCCTCTCACTCGCCCTCGACGTTGCAGTTTTATTGTCTCGATTTGTAGTTTCGGAAGCCAACTAGCACACTGAACGAGCCGTAATCATATTTAGTGCTGATTCATGATTCACAAACCAAGGAGCGAGCAGAAGTGTCAGATACCATAACATTCGCGCATGTTATGTGTTAAGTCTTTGTATTTCTTACGAAATACAAATGTTATGGTATGCGCTACCTTGAAAAAACTGTCTTAAAAACTATAATTAATATTTATGTGTGTTAGCGCTCATAAATCAGTCACGTCCGAGTCTTTCGCATGCAAGATTGGTGCTTAATTAGATTATTCCACCAAAACTGAATTTCAATATACTCAATTGCAAAAGAGAGTTCAATGTTTTTCATCAAACGGTAAAAACTGTTGGAGTTTTATTGGGTTCCCTCATATGTAAAAGACACGAACGTAAAAATAAAATACGAAGATATGCGAGTTTGCTGCATTTGAAATTTCCCCCCTGATATCACAGTTCTCGTTTTTTCTTTGGTATGTGTAATTTTGTCTCTTGGAGTTCAGTCATTATGAAATTATTTTAAAACAGCTTTGTAAAATTACAAATGCAGCCAAAATATTATTTTTAATACGCCGTGCTCAAAACACGGATTCTCTTACTTGTTTTTCCTGTTGAAAAGAAATTTGTTTCATTCTAACAAATAGTGTGCAACATATTACAAACATACGCGAAACGTGTCGAAGCGTGTGCGAAATATCTTTCGCACACAGGTGTTAAAAAAGAGAATACGCAACATAACCGCGAGGTGATCGGTGTACTTATTAAGTACTATTTCACTATCACAGATGGTCCCCTGATATTTCTGAACATTCAGGGAATCTTTATAATCTACCGATAATTACAAGATTAAGAAGGATTTTCGTTACGAGCTAGGTAGCGAATTCAGCTGCTGTCTGGTGGTGGCCTGCTCTGATCGAAAGTTTTCCATGATTTTTATCAATCAACACCAGGCGAATGTCCCGGCCGTACAATAAAAGACGGGCCATGGACAGTGTGCAATCTTCGTTTCCTTTTCCTTGTCTTCACCTGTCCTCTTACACACACACAGAGCATAGAACTTGCCGCGATTGCAGCGGTGCCCTGCTGGGGAAACCCCGACAGCAGATAACATAGGTCAGCACCGGATCTGGCTGTCCAGCGAGGGAAGATTCCTGCCATATCCCACAATAATACATGGACTGCACGTACTTAGATGTTGAAGCGCTCGGAAACATTAATGAATAAATCAGTCTAATGATAATTGTAAGCAAAGACACGTAAACACACGAAATGGTTTGATTGGACGAATATTGTCTTATGTTGCATATTTGCCATTTTCGTACTGTGGGTCCCTTATATGGGAAATATGAATAAATCTTGTTCCTATGTAGTAAATTACTTTCTCATTGTGAAGTAAGAATCTACTCCAAATTGTGAAGTCATCATTCAATCAATTGTGGATTCTTGATACGGAACTATAATTGTACGGCAAACTATTCGACCGTCTATAGTCAATGCTAGCGCCAAAACCGTTCGGATGATTTTTCATCAAAACTAATCGATCTGACTGTTCCGCCCACAACACTAAGCCCTCGTGCAAAGGCGGGTGGTCGCTCCCTCCCTCCGGAGGCGACTGCTCCCGCAGGGTACGCCCGCCGCACCCACGCCACACCCGCGCCGCCGGCCCCTCCCCCGAACGGCGGCTCCCACCGCTTTCCTGAAGGGCTGCAGCCTTCTCGCTTGCAACGTTCGCTTGTGCCAGGAGAGACGGGCGAGAACCACCACGAGAGGCACAGGCCACCACCGGCCCAGCGCCTTTTCGTTGAGCAGTCTCCGTGCTCGTGATCAGAGTTCATAGTATAACTCAATGCGCTTCGCGCACGTGAAAACACTGCCTTCGGCCCATACATCGGTGAATTAAGTGTGCTACCTTGTCTTCGACGAGCAGCCACTAAAAGGGTTGTCGCCGCATGTAGTCAGAGTGAATCTGTCATCGGCGGATACTACAGTGCGGTACGAGCAGACCCCACTCACACACCAAGACCGTGTGTGTCGCACGCGCACTCCTTCTGCCAGGGCCCACCTATTGCCAGGTCTGTGGCCAGCTGCTGGACAGACTCTCTGTGCCTGCATTCCCGCTTCGCCCGGGAGACTGAAATCGAAGTCGTGCGAGTTTGAAACAAATTGCGAATTATTTTGATTTTTAGATAACAATGTCTTCAAAACTTTTCAAAAAGTCTTGGAATTTTTGGATTAGTTTTCTTGAACAAAATTTGTACATAAAAACGGCACAGGCCTCATTTTGGTCAACTCTGAATTTTTGAAAATTGCAAAAGTTTAATATAATGCGGGAAAGTATGTACTGTTGTAGTATGTTGTTAATCTTCCCAGTTAATCAATGTTTCTGACGTGATATTTTACAATGAGTAGCATAAAAAAATCTGATTTGCTAGCCACTCTCAGCTGAAGAGCATTTTTCAGTTGTGAATGGTGACAAAATTAAAAGAATTAGCATTTTTATACTACTACTACTACTACTACTACTACTACTACTAGCTACTACTACTAGCTACTACTCACTAACTACTACTACTACTCACTAATACTAACTGACTACTACTACTATAACTACTACTACATACTACTATACTCACTACTACTACTATATACTACATATACTACACTATACTACTACTACTAACTCACTACTGACTTACTCCTATACTACTCTACTACTACTATATACTACTTACTCTCAGACTAACGTATATGCATCTACTATATACTACTACTATATATACTACTACTACTACTACACTACTATACTACTACTATATACTAACTATACTACTACTACTCTACTATAACTACTACTACCTATATACTACTACTACTACTACTACTACTACTACTATACTATATACTACTATACTTTACTACTACTATCTACTACTACTACTACTATACTACTACTACTATCTATACTACTACTACTATACTACTACTACTACTACTATACTACTACTAGAACTACTATACTACTACTCTACTATACTACTCTAACTACTACTACTCTAATACTACTACTACTTATACTACTACTGACTACTACTATACTCTCCTATACTACTACTACTTACATATCACTAATACTATACTACTACTACTACTACTCTATGACTACTACTACTTTACTACTATGACTACTATCTACTATACTCTACTAACTACTATACTCTACTTACTACTATAGTATCTATATACTACTTCTACTACTTACTTATAACTAACTGATACTTACTACTACTACTACTACTACTACTACTACTATATACTACTATACTCTGATACTACTACTAACTACTACTATTATATTACTACTACTACTACTATACTACTACTACTACTAACTACTACTTCTCACTACTACTACTACTACTACTAATACTACTACTACTATATATACTACTACTACTACTACTACTATACTACTATTACTATAACTATATACTACTACTATACTACTAACTACTACTACTATATACTACTACTACTACCTACTAATACTATTACTACTACTACTACTACTACTACTCAATACTACTTACTACTACTGACTACTACCTATACTAATATATATACTGACTACTTATATCTACTACTACTATACTATACTACTATATACTAACTACTACTACTATACTATTACTACTATTTAACTACTACTACTATACTAAACTACTACTCTACTACTACTACTACTACTATATTATACTAACTACTACTTATTACTACTATACTCTACTAACTATGACTACTACTACTACTCTATACACTACTACTATACTATACTAATACTATCACTAACTACTCTACTACTACTACTACTACTACTATACTACTATACTACTATTTACTACTACTCTATTAACTACCTACTACTATTACTACTACTATACTACTACTATAACTACTGACTACTACTACTAACTACTACTATACTCGCTCCTAATACTACTACTCACTACTACTACTACTACTACTATACTACTATACTACTATACTATCTATACTACTATACTATACTACTAACTACTACTACTACTACTACTACTACTACTACTACTACTACTACTACTACTACTACTATATACTGACTACTACTATACTATCTACTAGACTATACTATACTACTTATACTCTACTACTACTACTCTATAACTACTACTATCTACTACTACTTATACTACATATACTACTACTACTAGCTACTACTATATATAACTACTTATATCTACTAATATACTACTACTATATACTATATATGACTATACTACTACTACTATACTACTCACTATACTTATACTACTACTACTACTACTACTACTACTACTACTACTATATATTACTACTATCTACTATTAATACTCCTTACTACTAGCTATACTACTACTACTAACTACTAGCTCTACTCTATACTACTACTATACTAATAATACTACTACTACACTCATACTACTACTTATATACTACTACTACTACTGAGTACTACTACTATCTACTACTTATACTACTACTACTACTATACTACTAAACTACTACTATACTTACTACTACTATACTACTACTACTATACTATACTACTTACTACTACTACGACTACTACTACTACTACTATACTACTACTCTACTACTACTACTATACTGACTACTACTCCTACTACTCTACTACTTACTACTAATACTACCTGACTACTATACTATA